TCTGGTATTCGATGAGAGCCTCTGAGCTCTTAGGAATTGTGACGAAGCAACTGCCAATTTGATATGGTGGGGAACTGCCGAAGTATAGTCAATGAGTAGACCACTAGCACATGCCTTCTGGTACAGCTTGTATGCCAGCTTGCCTTCCTGGATCATAATTGTGATATCCATATAATTTATGGAGCCACTCACCTCGCTGAGCTCATATGTGAAGTTGATACTTGGGTGTGCAGAGTTGAAATGCTGCACAAACCGCATCAAGCTCTCTCTGCCGTGGGTCCATAGCAGCAGGATATCGTCGATGTAGCGTTTGTAGAGGAGCGGTACTAACGGAGAATCCTGCAGAAGCCTGGCCTCAACCGTATGCATGAATAGAATCGCAAATGGGGGTGCAAGATTGTTACCCATTGCAACCCCGTCCACTTGGTGATAGATCTGATGGCCGAATCTGAAATAGTTGTGGCTGAGAACAAACAGCAGCAGATTCCGTACCCCGCTCACACTCAGCCCAAACATGTCGATCCGCTGGGAATACTGCTGCAGCATATCCACCACTGCCTGAACGCCCTCCCGAATAGGTATGCTCGGATATAACCCGACTACATCCATGGACATAACAATGGTGCCATCGGGGGCGTTCAATCCCGGACATGCGTCACAGATGTGGGTTATTGCTTCCGTCGTGTTAGCCAGGTGGGCCGGGACAAATTGAATGAGCTGCTGTAGGATGCGCTCCAATACAATAGATACTCCAGTCGTTGGGCTGTCGCACGCTGCTACCACGGGTCGCAATGGTAAGTTCTGCTTATGGTCCTTTGGAAGACCGTACCACTCGGGGAACTTCGTACTGCTTGGTAGGATTGACTTTAGGAGTTTTGAATCTATGTTCTTGCACTCTGACAGTATTACTTCTCGTGTCTTGGTCTCGTAGGACTCTATGGTCAAATCTACTTTCTCATACATGGTCATGTTCGATAATATGTCTTCTGCTTTCTGCAAATACAGCTCCTGTCTCATAGCAACGAGTTTTTTACTTTTATCCGATGGTTTGATGATGGTTTCTTGGTCTGTGCGAAGTCGCTTCAGCTCCACCCGCTCCTCCTGCGTCAGATTGGGCTTAGAGGGTGTGTGTCTGTCGTAAGCTCGTAACACCTCGTCGCGGAAGTTGGCCATGTTCCTTTCGTCTTTGTCGTCCATCTGTGGGGGCTGCTTAAAGCCACGCTTCATCAGCTTCCACAATTTCTTGTCCTGTCTGATCTCTGGCGGTGGGTCCTCCTCTTTGAGGTCCACACCCTGAGGCTGGGGCTGTTGCCACCGGAGGGTGAACGCCATCCTCTCAACCGATGTCTCAACATCTGTTCGTTCTTGCTTGGTGAGCCTCCCCGTCGACGGGACAAAGCTAGGTCCATGTTCCAGCAGACGCCTTGTCTGGTCGGACACACAGTCGCCCACCACCAACGCCCGCTCATTGACTGGCTCAGCATTGGTCGTATGCCCACCGGGTGACGCAACACCAACGGCGGCAACAGGAGTTGGGCCGCGGGGTGAGCTGTTGGTTCCCGCCACACGTTGATCCGCCTCTCGAAGCCCAGAAATCTTCCGATTTAGTCTGGCGTTGGAACTTATTCGTTCTTCGGTAACCACTGCACGTTGAAGAGAACGGATCAATAGGTAGTCCGACTGTGTAAACGTCCACAGTTGCTCTCTAGACTGCTTGTATCGCCTCCCGCGGTAATCTTTCTCTGCGCATTTGTCTTCGATGGCATCGCAGAGAAGACGGCGGCAGTACTGATGTCTCCTGTGTTCTCTGATGGTCTTGTGACTCGTTGATGCTGGCTTCCGCACACAATTCGAAATAAATCTGGGGCTCATGGGGCTCCGTGCTCCCCTCCTAGATCCTGTGCTAGAATTAACACCATAATTATTTGGCATGTACCCTCACTTCGTAGAGCACAACGGCGCGCTCTTCTTCTCCGTGATGTGCACAGTTGCACCTTCTCTCCCCCCCCCCCCCCTCTGTATAGAGGTGACATAACTCGCATCATTTTATTTTTTGGCGCTACACTCTGCGCAACGCCATTCACAGAGCACAATGCGCGCTACCTTCTGCTGCTTCTCCTCCGTGATGTGCTAGTTGCGCCTTTTCTCTCTCTCTGTCATACTAGGTGACATAATTCGCATCTTTTTTGGCGCTACACTCTGCGTATATACTGCTCTTGTGTGGCTTCCACGGTATTCATTGTTATTACCTGATGATGGCCAAGTGCCGAAACGTTGTAAAATAACGGAACTGGTTCGGATGTGATATGCAGCGCTATGGGAATGGGTGTGTCCACCCGAATTCTTTTCACATATTCATAAATGACATATCTTCAATACCCATGAGCTACATTGTATGTGATAATTATATCATTGTATCATCGTTCTAGCTCAATTTCTTTCCCCTGTCATAGTCCTGTTTATCATGTTCAGCATAAGCGAAGTTGTGGATCATGCTTGCATGGTTGACTCCAACGCGTACATGCAAGTAATAATAATATCTTTGGTGTGGCATCATCGATTTCCAGTATGAACACCACCCGATAGCTTGACATGAAAGGTAGCGAGTTACGCGGACGTTTCTTACACGTGAAACGAAAAGATTTGGCGGGTAGTCAGCAAAAAATTAGGTGACGGTCCCTTTAGTCCTAGTACCCTTGGTAACGCTGGTAACCTGGTCTACATTGTATCAGTCATTGAACATGTAGATCCAAACTAGAGCATAGTGCGTTTCAAAAGTCCAGACCTCTGGTTTCAAAAAACCGTTAGGACAGCAACTATACCACATAAAAACTATAGTATCAGTACGACAGTAGCAGATGCTAGGCTGAAAATGGTGGTAAGGGACAGCATGCAGTGATCATGGCTGCAACAGACACAGGGGCCAGAGAAGAGTACAGCAATGATAGCCGGGAACATCAACAATGACGTCACACAGTGATTGAGTGTTTTTAACCCTTTATGGGTCTCACATAAGCGTAAGGGTCGTATGTGACCCAGGGAGTCGTCAAATACCTATAATTTATTTATTTGACGACTCCCTGATGTGACCCTTACAGTAAAATCGCATTTTCTTTGAGTTTTGTTGCTAGGAGACAACTAAAATGGTGCTCCACTCGTAGCTGAGGTCCAAGGCTTTCCAACGGTGTAAAAAACAACCATACTTACCATACAAATTTTTGCAGTATCGATCGACTGAAGTCTGGTGAAATTGGAAAAGACGACCATCCGCCATGCGCGCATTTCGAGATTGGGAGTGCATCTCTTGAAGCCGTGTCAGAAAAGCTTTCTGAGGACACTGACGGCACCAGTCTAGGCTGGATGTCCCTGGAGGATTTCCAGTGTAATGTCGTGAGAAAGAGAGCTCCGTTGAGTCCTCCTAGCTCAAATAAATCGTCCCCGAATGAAGAAATCAAATTTACCAACCAGCGAGGAAGTACAGCAACAGCAACTCTTACAAGGACTTGTCAGGTGCGATCAGCTGATTCGCATGGCCCTGAGAATCACGGCACGCGTGACATCGCGCCTGAGTACTCATCTGAGCGAGAGTGAATCTGACGCGAGCGGCGCTGAGGCGAACGAACCAAAATTGTGATATTGTGGAACTGTTGCTGCTGGTGCATCGCCGATGGCGAGGTTTTGGAGTTCAAGGACGGAATTAGGAGCATATATTCTTCACCAAGACGTAGCGCTTACCTGATTGTTTATCATAGGACTTCAGCTCCATCACGAACTTGGTATGCACTTCGTGCTGTGATTTTTGTGTTTTTTTGTTCGCAATTGTATTTTCTCTCAACTTGAAGGGCTACCACGGGTCATACCCTTGCCTGGACATAGTCATATTTGTGTTTTCTGGACTCGTCCAGGCATACAGATTTTGAAAATATATAGTTTACCCATACCTACAACTCACAGGACTTGAGTTATGGCTCGTTGTTTGTACGCGTGTTTGCGTGACCACCCCTCACATACATTGAGTAAGACCCACAAAGGGTTAAAATAGTAAACGGTTGCAATTAGAATTGGAGGTGGATGGGTGAAGACATGGTGGTGATAACAGCAGTCTCAGCTGCTGGGACACCAAAGGGAGGTGGATGGGTGAAGACATGGTGGTGATAACAGCAGTCTCAGCTGCTGGGACACCAAAGGGAGGTGGTGGATGGGTGAAGACATGGTGGTGATAACAGCAGTCTCAGCTGCTGGGACACCAAAGGGAGGTGGATGGGTGAAGACATGGTGGTGCCGGATAACAGCAGTCTCAGCTGCTGGGACACCAAAGGGAGGTGGATGGGTGAAGACATGGTGGTGATAACAGCAGTCTCAGCTGCTGGGACACCAAAGGGAGGTGGATGGGTGAAGACATGGTGGTGATAACAGCAGTCTCAGCTGCTGGGACACCAAAGGGAGGTGGATGGGTGAAGACATGGTGGTGATAACAGCAGTCTCAGCTGCTGGGACACCAAAGGGAGGTGGATGGGTGAAGACATGGTGGTGCCGGATAACAGCAGTCTCAGCTGCTGGGACACCAAAGGGAGGTGGATGGGTGAAGACATGGTGGTGATAACAGCAGTCTCAGCTGCTGGGACACCAAAGGGAGGTGGATGGGTGAAGACATGGTGGTGATAACAGCAGTCTCAGCTGCTGGGACACCAAAGGGAGGTGGATGGGTGAAGACATGGTGGTGCCGGATAACAGCAGTCTCAGCTGCTGGGACACCAAAGGGAGGTGGATGGGTGAAGACATGGTGGTGATAACAGCAGTCTCAGCTGCTGGGACACCAAAGGGAGGTGGATGGGTGAAGACATGGTGGTGATAACAGCAGTCTCAGCTGCTGGGACACCAAAGGGAGGTGGATGGGTGAAGACATGGTGGTGATAACAGCAGTCTCAGCTGCTGGGACACCAAAGGGAGGTGGTCAACAATTTAAAAAACAAAAACATACTCAAATCTCAGACAGCCAGCTGTTTCCACCTTGTTATATCTCATCAGCAGTGAGCCGATGACAGCAAAAAGAGTAAGGCAATGTCATATGTATTTATTAGCATAGAACCGAGAAATTCCCAGCCTATTTCAACGCATTAACCCCATTCTGCTACTAAGTTCTGGTAAGATCCTCAGTCTTGAATTTGGATACATAATCAAGTCTGCAAAGATATAGGTTGGCTTCTATGAAATCAATGTGGATTGGCTCAACGCACAGAGACATGGTGATCTCAATATCGTTAGTCAAGTTTCAGTAAAGGCTAACGCAAGCGTGTCTTGAAATTAATATTCTTATTGCATTCATGGCGGGAATGAGAGGAGCTTCAAAAACTTCCCTGATTGTCTGCCTTGTATTGAAAAGTCGTAGTTTATCAAGTTATTTTCAAAATTTACTAGCTGCAATTCAAAGTAAATAGCATGTGAGTTTCAAGTGTACTTCAAGACATTAGAAACATCACTGCTATGTGTAAATTCATGATGAAGGAAAATGACACGGGCTGATCACAGTAACACAGGCCAACTGGCAATGAAAACACACAGCGCCCATGATGCCTAGGACGAACGCTCCGGTCACAAGAAGACATCAGGCTCCACGACGCTGACCGGAGGGCGGCCAGGCTGCTAATCTGATCCGGCCGAGGCACTGAGCTGCTGGGGGTCGGAGAGCAGACGCTTGCCCCCCCCCCCCCCCTGCCATCTCTGGACAAGGCCTCATCTCCTGCTTATTGTTTCAAGTACTTAGCATTCCTGGCAAACAAACACAATACAGGTCAAACAGCAGCAGAGTGAACTTCTCATTGTCATGGTACAGTGCACAATGGATGAGCAGAGACCCGGACGAAAGACAGAGACGGAGCACAGCAGCAACACACACACACACACGTTTCTAATAGAACTAGGCTAACTTTTCTTGTAGCTCAACAGTTCACTTGTTACTGTAAAATGGTAAAATGGCTAATTATAGCGTCAGTACCGTAGGTCCATGTCGTGCAATGTTATCGCATGAGCTGATTGTTTTGTGACTGGTGGTGTTAGTGGACATTATAGCGTAACGTGTAGTTCCTGGGTCCTTTTATTTTCTATAAATTAATCCTTGGCTCTCCATCCTAGTCCAATTTAAGCGCAGGTGATATTTTAGTGATTTAAACGAAAGGAGTGTTTTGGCTAAAGTTTTGCCGCGTCAATTGAAATTTAGCAGATACTACTGTACAGTACTAGTCATCTTCTTTTCCTTAAAACTCTGAAACTCGGGTCAATAACATATTTCATTGTCAATTGGTCCTGATTCAGAGAATGCTAATTTCTTTACCCGTTAAAAACTATACGTTCTACAGTATTACAGTGCATTTCAAAACTATAGACGCGTAGGGTTTTTGAAATATTTCAAATTTGGCTGGAACGTTTTGAGAATAGTTTTCGGAATATTGCTCAGGATCGCTCCACAATTGCTCTCAAATAGTTTCTAAACGATTGGATAACAGACGCCCAATTTGGATATTATGCACAAAGTGATCACAGATTTTATGTGGTATAGATGCTGGCATAACGGTTTTTGCCTAGGTACGCGTCTATAGTTTTGAAATGGACTGTAGGCCAATTATCAGATGTTTTGATTGGCGAGTATTTAGCAACTTAGCTTGAACATAGCAAGATCTGTGGTTCAGTGAACAACAATCCCCCCCAACCCCCCCCCCCCCCCAACCCCAACCCAAGAGGGTATTGCAAAACAATTCAACCAGCCCAGGAGCACTCACTAGCTCTGAAGATATTTTCACCTGGCTGAACCACACAATTAGTATATTTGGACGCCACCGAGAATGTTCAAATACAAAAGAAAATTTAGGCCACCAGCCTCACGCTCATTTTCTCCGAAATTCGCCCGCAATCGAACGGCTCCTACACTCCCAGAGAATAAGGTTGACCCTAAAACTACTTCAAACTACGTTTACTCATAATTCGCTACATACACACGGCTAAAACTCTGCCGTGTCCTTGCTGGAGAAAATATATTCACCACCCGGCATTATTGAAATACACATGAATCACGGTGTCCAAAAGCAACCAACCTCTCTCGTCGCCTTCCTCCTCTCCACCGATGAACGGTTCAATCGAGCTAACAAACGCATGCCAGTTGGCAATCTGATCAAGTGTCTTTCCACTGCAGTGCAGAGTGGTAGACAGAACAAAACAGCACAAAACAAAACGAAAAAACTAGAAACAGGTCCACGTTCTATGTAGGGTCGTAACAGAAGAACCTCCCTCGGTGGACAGTAGAGCCCCTCCCTCCAGTGGACACGGTAGAGTTCCCCCCCCCCCCACCCACTGGACAGTATGCCTCCCCCCCCCCCCCCCCGTGGACAGTGCCTGCCCCCCCCCCCCCAGGTCACAGTGCCTGCCACCCCCCCCCCCCCCCCCCAGGTCACAGTGCCTGCCATCCCCCCCCCCCCCCCCCCCCGGGACAGTAGAATCACACCTCGGTGGACAGTAGAGCCTTGAAATGCGATGCAGCATTATGTGATCAAAAAGACCCCCTCACTAAATATGAAGGCAGCGTGTTGTCAGTGTTTCCATTACCCCGAACGCTTCGTTAATGAAAGTGGCTGATTGGTCAGCTCCAAGGCAATGTATTTGACTTCTTTATAAACCTGCGAGGAAAGCCTTCACTAACCCAATGGCACCAAGTGACATGAATTCAGCGTCGTGAACACCGCTTCCACGAGCACCGTGACCACCGCTTCTACTGTCCACACTGGCACAGGCTTCTGCTGCAAGGAAACAGACGGCATGCCATTGGAGTGGCCAAGAGACATGCACACGCACACACCCACACACACACACACATACACACGCACACACGCACACCCACCCACATGCACGCACACATGCACGCACGCGCACGCACGAACCCACCCACCCACCCACCCACCCGCCCGCGCGCACGCACGCACCCACACCCACACCCACCCACCCACCCACCCACACACCCACACACACACACACACACACACACACACACACACACACACACACACACACACACACACACACACACACATGCAGATGCAATGTTTACATGTACACACAGGTGGGCACGCACACACGGTTTGTTGCAGAAGTCTATTGTCGCCACTGAAATGAACATGGTTCATTTCGTACTCGGACGGACCCCTCACTCCTGCAAAATGAAAACAGTTTGCAACGCTGGACACCATAAATCAAGTGCATGTACACGTAGTGCATTGTCGAGCAAGTTACGATTTTCGACCTCCCACCCTCCTCCTCCTCTGCCACGGACGATGTTCGCTTCAGGGCGACAAAATATGACATCGACCCCTTAGCAATTCTATGACAATGTAATGTCGGTTGTCTAGGGCCCAAAACAGAGTCAGAACTGCAGTGTTGGCTGGGATCAAACACCAGCTTGCGGTGAGAAGAGGCTCAACTTTTACATTCTATCCACAGCAGATATGGTCCTGTGCTCATGCAGTGTTCAATACCCGAACGGGAATAGCTACCTCAAAACGAAAATAGAATAGCGTACCGGTTTCCTTGCGACTAAAGGTTGAATGCGAATGCGGCCATCATGCAAAACATCATTTGGAAGTACAGTCAAATCTGTCGTAAGCGACCGCCCCTTGGTGCAAGAAAAAGCGGTCGCTTACGGCAGATGGTCTCTTACGGCAGATGTATGGTAAATCCGGCATACCAGGTATATGCATCCATGTACTCAAATCGACGAGAATAATGTGATTTTTAATATCATTTTATTGGATATTAAACGACGACCATACCCGTATAGCACGCGTATGCGACACGGCAGTAGATCGACACTGCCTGGACTTGAGAGCTACAGCACAGCCTCAGTAGAGGCCAGTGGCCAGTCGATCGCACTTGCAAGACAGCGCATTTTCACACTTTGTACTGGCAAGTACAGTTTCGCACCTTACTGAACCTGGGTCGCGGTCGCTTACAGCAGATTTGAATGCAGCCACGGTGCATGAAATCGCGGTCGCTGGTCGCGCACAGCAGATGGTCGCTCTGGACAGATCAGTTTGTATGTGTAACCGTCGGTGCACGGAAAATCGGTCGCTAACGGTAGATGGTCGCCTACAGCAGAGGTCGCTAACGGCAGATTTGACTGTACCAGATCTGTTTGTATTGTGCATCCAACTAACCTGAAGGAAGAGAGGCCGATCTCGGGTCAAACAGCTTTCCACATGCATCCTGTAGGTATTGCAAGAGACCAAGTACATGCAAGCACATGCCCACGCCCACACGCACACACACACACACACACACACACACACACACACACACACACACCCGCACCCGCACACACACACACACACGCACACCCGCACGCGCATGCACACACACACACACACACACACACACATACATGTAAATACACACGAGCAAAAGCACACATGCATGCAAACACGCACATGCACAAGCCATAATCGCTGAAGTCAGAGTAGGCTCAAAATGGTTATCTCCTCATTAACATGACGGGAATACGTGGCAAGTTTTAAGAAAATAGAGACATGGTGCAACTTTGTGTGTGAAGAATACTTGTCCTGAACAGAGATAAACAGAATTACAACAAGGCCTGGTGGAACTTGTCTCATGGTCCGTGCCCCCCCCCACAAGAACATATGAACCAAAGCTAGCGGCAGGCGCTACTAACGTAACGTCTTTTGCATAGCTGCGGGAATTCAATCAGGTCAAGTCTCTCACCTGGTCAAGGCCCAGCCAGAACATGGCCTGCTCACGGATCATCTGTATATCCGGCTTTGAACGTGTACACAGTGGGTAGTCTTCAGCCACTAGGGTGGAAGCGTCCAAGGCGTGCTCACAGCTTGGCGCGCGGCACGTAGATAAGCCATGCTGTAAACACTCCTCGCCCGATGTTTCTCCGCAGGGGCATGGCAATGTGCTGATCACTTTGACCTGTAGGCCCCACTTCCGTACCACTGTGAGCACGATTGCCCGGACTTCATCCAGCGTAGACGTTCCGCTGCCGCCGTGTCGGCCCTTGCACTCGACGTACACTTGTAAGCCGTAGCGTGTATAGTGCAGGTGCAGCCACGGCCAATCGCTATTCCAGCGAAGGCGAACGCTGCACCGTGACAGCGTGGCAGCCGAGCGCTTGTGTGACTTAAGCAGCACCTCCACCACGCATTGCCAGTACAGGAACACGGGAAAGTGCATCAACTCATCTCGGTTTGCTTGCTCCAAGGACACATAGGCACAGGAACAAGGCGTCTGCGGGTCCGTGCCCATCTCCAGGACGACTGCAGGTACAATAAACTCGTGCTCAGCAGACCTCTCATCCTGCACAATTACCAGGACTGAGAGCCATTCTAGGATTTCAAAAATGAGCTTGAACCCATCACTGCTTGCTCTGACTGCTTGCCACGCCTTAGCATGGTCGCAGTAAGACTGACCCTCGAACATCTTGTTGAGAGCTTTGCGTGCCAGGGACTCCGTCATGAACCCAGAACGATAGCACCGCGCTTCGTGCACTGTGATGTCTCGGTCAGGCTTCATGTAGACAAAGGCATTGACACAGTCCAGGATGAACTGGGGCTCCAGGATGACCGTGTCTTTCAGCTTGAAAGTTGGGAAGTACGCCAGGTGGCCTGCTTCGTGGCAGTACTTCAGCAGCAGCTGTATTTGCCGGTCACTGCAGTCATGTGGAACAGCCTTGACTTGCTTCGCTATGAACTTTGCCTCCTTGAAGGAAATCCAAGGCCAAGTGACCTCCTGCTTGAGCGCGTGTATGCATATGCAGAATCGGAGCCATGGAACAGGGATGTTACGTTGGCTCTTCTGGCAGCGGTCGATGATGGCCTCTCTCAATCGCTGCAGCTCATCTGCTTGTGCTGCACTTCCAGTGGATCTGGTGTTGTCGATTTTGAAGTACGAAGTGTCGTTCCAGACAAGGTTCTGGTACCGCGTACCTTTTATCTTCTCTTGAAGTAGCTTACAAGGATCAGGCAAATCGGTTTTGTTCCACCTGTCACTCTGACACCCCACTACAAACACATCATCTGCAGCACTCTGGTCTGTGCTGCTGTCAGCTTTCGCATTCAGCAGCAGCATGTCGAGCCAGCCGAGCAGCTGGTCTAGGCGAGTCGCATTGGACGGTAGAGTGGCCCGCTCGATACATTCTTCCCGGCTGACCTGAAATTCATCGAACTTGGGAAGGGTCTCTAGAAGATCCAGAGAAGAGTTGTATGTGGCAATGAAGGCTGTGTTTTTGGCCATAAAGAGGGGCTGCACGGATTGGTAGACTTGCTGCCCTCCAAGGTCGCGGAATGTTATGACGGTATAGTTGGGCGTGTTGGCCCGGTCTGAGATGTACTTTACCCGGTCTGCATTGAGAAATCCTGTGATGGTCTCGTGGATTTCCTCGCGCATTGCTGGCCCGTTGCTGCTGCTTCTGCTGCTGCTGCTACTGCTGTCCTCCATAGGTCCTGCATGGGTCCCAGCCACAGGATCCTCTCCTGCTGGGGCTCTCTCTCTGTCATCTTGTGTTGTCTCTTTGTCTTGGGGATGATTCGAAGTGGATGGTTTGCACATCATGGTGATGACGTAGAGTCGACTCAGAGCATCTGGCATGTCTGGGCATTCGATGAATCGACAGTCATCAGTGATGTTTGTAGTTGCGTAGGACGTGCGCATGCCGGGTGTGCTGAGTTCATTCTCATTGTGCATCTTCTCAAGCAACGCCTTCAGCAAGCTGGTCTTTCCAACGCGTGCCGCACCAAGTATTACCACGTGCAGGAAATGGATGACGGTCGTACCGCCCAACCGGGCTGCCTCCTGCTCTGCTGCTTCGAGTTCACTGATACTTGGCAGAACAGCAGTATCTCCTGGGCACAACGATAAGCACAGCACACCACAAAAAATGTTGTGTAACTGCAGGTGACATTTACAGTTTGTTGTTTCTTTTGTATTGTCATGACCCGGATCAGACTCGTCGTGAAAGCGACCATGCATTGAGTTCAGCAGCCAAAAGCTGGGCTCCGAAATATTCTAGAGTTCTGTAAGAACCATGATTAGTCCTACGAAGGATTTGGCACTTTCGTTAGTTGAGCAATCATGGCATACAACTCGTGGCCTCGAGTCACAAGTGTTGTCGTACGGCGGCTACACCTTCAGTACAAGTCGTCAGCATTGTACTCACTACACTGTTGAGCTTGAGGGGACCCTGCTTAGTCCTGCAAGGGAGCTGATACCTTTGTTAGTCGAGCAAGCATGGCACCTCTTCTCGCGTCGTACGACGTAAAGGGTCCTGCAAGTGCTTCGCGCACTGCGGACTCCGTTATCCCTTTTTGGGAGAGGTCACGGCTTGACCGTGCAGCGCCCTACGGGGTAATGAGAGGGAAGAGCCTACGGGGCAGAAGATGAAGGGTGACCCAATCAAGACACCGTACGAAGGCGGCGCGCTCTAGCTGCGGCAACATCCGTCAGCGTACTCCAGGCTCCGTCGCACGATCGCCGTACGAATAACCTCGGACATCACGCATAGTTGTAACTCTTTCATGTAATGTGGGTGAGCGAGCTCCCCGTATTGATTGATCATTCTTTGTACTATATTCTAGTTTGGCTGATTGCACATATTGCACCACTGTTTGTAATATAGAAATAATCCTTACGCATTCTTGCCACTGTATACTTTTGATCACATAATGTAGCATATATAAGGAGCTGTTTTGCTAACATTCATCCTCGATTCTCGGGGAGCTCACTACTCCTCTCGATTCTGAGAGAGTCACTCCGACTCTCTCCTGCTTTGGTCTTTTGACTCTACACACTTGATCTTCGATCTAGTACTGCAATGGTTCAAATAAACACTGTTCAAGTGGAATTAGAAACCTGTCGTTCTATGTGAGCTAGCAACTTGGATGGCGACTATATTGGTCGTCTACCTGGGTAGCCACTAGACTGATCTAAGCCAAGTCACAAACCCGCCAAGCGCGGCCATGACATTTGGTGCTGTGACCAGGATCCAAGTTGCGTCTTGCTGTTGCTCCGGCAGAGTAGTCGTAACTCGGTGTGCACTGGTCCATGCTGAACTCTGAGCTCTTGTTTACTCGAGCACGCAGAGGTGTGAATTTGATGTCGATTTCACGAGGCTGCATGCAGTTCTCAAGTGGATTCGGAAGCGAACTGTTTTGTTCTGTTCTGGCCTTGGTCCGTTCAGTTGAACACTCTGTCTGAGTGCGTGCACATGGAACGTAGACTCGTTCTGTTCTGTATACATGTAGCTGTTGCTATCAGTTGGCGTGCCAACTAATTACTTACTTGCTCCGGAAGACCTGGCGAAAGTCGGTTATGCCGCTGACAAGAGTTTCGACTCCTGCACCAATTGTTGGTCGGAGGTATGTGTCAGATGCACTCGCTTTGCGGTGTGGACGGTGCATTGTTCGAACCCACAGAGGTTCTTGCAAGGACGTGCAGTGAGGAAACTCTGCTGTTTTGTCAGCGCTTGCACAGAAACTGCTCGAGAGGCGAAATGCTTTTAGACTTTTAGAGTCGTCTTGCAGTGGCAGGATCGATGACTGCATGAAGCTTAGCTTCTACGTTGCCCTCAGCTGCAGTTGAGGAGTGTTGCTGTTCTTTTGAACTTTGACGGTTCAAAAACAGTCAAGAGGACTATGTCCTTGTCGTGTGACGGAGTCACGAAGCCAGATTTTGAAACTGGGCGCACCAGTTGAGATGCTGGCTGAAACGATGATACAGTAACAAGTTCTGCAGAGAGCTTGAACAACTGCTGATTTGAGTTCGTTGATGCGGATCTCGAATGTTTTGATTGGAGTGTGATGGAAATCACTAGTGAGCTGATGCCCACCTGAAACCAGCATTTCTGTGTTGGACGATGCCTGTTTGGTGTCGGATATGTCGCGACGTCCGCACCCTGTGGTGTTTCGTCACGTACTGAGTATGATGTTGGTTACTGGTTCTGACATTGGACGCGGTGTGCTGTCCCAATTCCTTGCGAGATCATTTCGGGTGATGGAGCATTGCATTTTAAAGCTTCTAAAGCTGACGTCGTTCCGCCAAGCCATGATGGTGATGGCAAACGAGAGCACGTTCTTCGCTTGAGAGGCGTGAAGTGATACCCCCATTTTCGGAGGTGACGGTTAACGCCGTGCTAGACACGTCGGACGGATTGCCGACCTGTGCCTTGACGATACCTGATGGGTGTTTTCAAGAAATGAATGATGTCATGATGGCGCATGCGCTAGTGAGCCCTACGGTGGATGGTGTTCCCGTACGGGTGTTAAATTACTCTGACGAGGCAGTGGCTCTAGAGAGGGCAATGCAGATTGGTCGGTTGGAACCAATATCTGAAGTCATGAGTATCATGACCGAAGACACTATGGCCGATTGCCAGAGAGAGGAATCAGCTCAATTAGCTGAGACAGAGGACTCCCTCGGGGTCTGGAAGCAGTTGCGCATTGGCGCAGATTGTCCCGCTCTAACTCCCGGCTGTGGTAGTGACGAGCTGGTCTCAGTCAAGTTGCCCACTGTTGGTGGTAGGGATGAGCCGGACTCAATCCAGCCCACGGCGGCGGGTGGAGGAAGAGATGGACAATCTGGTATCTCCTGCGAGGAGATCCACTGCTTGCAAGCCTTAGTGCTTCGGTATCAAGATGCGTTCGCTTTGAACCCATCTGAGCTACACTACAAAATTGAGACACGTGATCGTGGTCCTGTTGCACAGGCTACTAGGCGTATGCCATTGTGTCTGTCCTTGCTGGCAGCAATGAACCTACCGTGGAAGTCTTGGCGAGGTCGCCAAGGTCTTTTGTAATGGGTGGAGTGTGGGTGGAACCGATTCGTTGGATACCACCAAATCTATGAAATGGCTCCTGGAGCTCTGCAGCAGTTTTTGTACTGAACCGGATACCTACTTGGTAGAAGGGTGTGTCGACCACACGTTATGGCCTATGGTCTACATTCATCTGAGATGACACGAAATGGCGAACTGTCATACGTATACGCTTTGCGTGAAGATTTGCAACGTGCATTTAGTTGTACATGACAAGCTGCGTGTTGATCATCAGCACCAGGCTCATCTCTACGATAGTGGAGCAGTACCAGTTTCATTTTGAAGTTGGAATTTTTTTCATGGAAATGTCCCGCCTGTGGAGCCACATTTCGTACTCTATGCCCGTACCTGTTACGGTGCAGAACCAGTTGGCTTGGCCAACGAGAGCTGGGCGGTTACCGTCACGACTCGCTGACTTTAACGTTAGCCTTTGAGATCACGGGGACGTGATTCTTGAGAGGCCGGGGAATTGTCATGACCCGGATCAGACTCGTCGTGAAAGCGACCATGCATTGAGTTCAGCAGCCAAAAGCTGGGCTCCGAAATATTCTAGAGTTCTGTAAGAACCATGATTAGTCCTACGAAGGATTTGGCACTTTCGTTAGTTGAGCAATCATGGCATACAACTCGTGGCCTCGAGTCACAAGTGTTGTCGTACGGCGGCTACACCTTCAGTACAAGTCGTCAGCATTGTACTCACTACACTGTTGAGCTTGAGGGGACCCTGCTTAGTCCTGCAAGGGAGCTGATACCTTTGTTAGTCGAGCAAGCATGGCACCTCTTCTCGCGTCGTACGACGTAAAGGGTCCTGCAAGTGCTTCGCGCACTGCGGACTCCGTTATCCCTTTTTGGGAGAGGTCACGGCTTGACCGTGCAGCGCCCTACGGGGTAATGAGAGGGAAGAGCCTACGGGGCAGAAGATGAAGGGTGACCCAATCAAGACACCGTACGAAGGCGGCGCGCTCTAGCTGCGGCAACATCCGTCAGCGTACTCCAGGCTCCGTCGCACGATCGCCGTACGAATAACCTCGGACATCACGCATAGTTGTAACTCTTTCATGTAATGTGGGTGAGCGAGCTCCCCGTATTGATTGATCATTCTTTGTACTATATTCTAGTTTGGCTGATTGCACATATTGCACCACTGTTTGTAATATAGAAATAATCCTTACGCATTCTTGCCACTGTATACTTTTGATCACATAATGTAGCATATATAAGGAGCTGTTTTGCTAACATTCATCCTCGATTCTCGGGGAGCTCACTACTCCTCTCGATTCTGAGAGAGTCACTCCGACTCTCTCCTGCTTTGGTCTTTTGACTCTACACACTTGATCTTCGATCTAGTACTGCAATGGTTCAAATAAACACTGTTCAAGTGGAATTAGAAACCTGTCGTTCTATGTGAGCTAGCAACTTGGATGGCGACTATATTGGTCGTCTACCTGGGTAGCCACTAGACTGATCTAAGCCAAGTCACAAACCCGCCAAGCGCGGCCATGACAGTATTACTAGCAAGAAATCATACAGTACAGGCAACAGGAATGCAAAACAAGTGAGAGTGCATCTTCACTGCATGCACTCGTATTATGAGAAAGCCCGCTTGAGTCCCGATTTGACGGTGTGTCTGAAAGTCATTGCTTCCCGCACAATAACCACTCCATCACCAGAATATTGGCAGACAGGAGACACCTGCTATGGTGTTGCTACAGTTGAGGCACTGGGTTTTAGAGTCCAGGGGCGTCACACACGGTACCACCAGTACCACCATGCTTGTACCACTTTTCGCACCGGATGCTGCGCCCAATTCATCCAAAAAACAAGCAATAAAAGAGCACTAAAATGTGACCTGTTCACCCAATAATCACTATTTACCAGTGTTGCAAAGAATAGCAAATCACGAACGAATATTCTAACAAAATATGCACAGTACGAACGAATATTCTACTATTCTACCCATACAGACGAGCCCCTTTCAGCACACTATGCTTCCTTGTTTATTTGAGCCAGCGCGTGCTAAGACATGACCACAGCTTTTGTGGAAAAAGTCGAGAAAATCGCGATTTGAATTCCGCGACAAAAAAATGCAAAGTTCTCCTCGGTAGACTGGACTGTTCTGGATGTAACTCTTTGTTGCAAGTACATGAAAATTTATTCGTTTCAGTTTGGAGTCTCCTAAAATGGATCATCAACGATGTATCGAAGGAAGAGCCTAATATACTTCGGAGCGGAAGAAGACGACATCCTCGCGTTCCATGCGCAGGATGAACTATTTTGTGGACTTGCTTCGGAAACAGAAGTCTCAAGTCTCTCAAACTCTCCAACACGGAGCTAGCTTTACGATCCGACATCACGAATTTCTACTGACTCGAAACTAAGCAAAGCTGACTCATACGATTCGAAACTAACCAGGAACTGCTACAAACTATGAAGAAGAACATAAGTATTTCTTGCGATGGTGCAAGCTACAAACGGCGCGTAAGTCAAATTGGGCAGAATTAGCGGTAAGCGACAATATGTTGACGATGTCGTTTGTTGCTCAATTGCAGTGACTGTTGCACATTCTACGATGCAAGAACGCAGCGAGCGTGCTGCGATGAGCGAATTAAGCCATTGTACGGAAAGTTGTACACAAAGTGTAACATTTCGAACATTCGACCTCTGACTCGCATGTTCGAATATTCTGTGCAATCGAAGATATTCAATTATTCGAATATTCGCTGCAACACTGCTATTTTACCCTCGGGCTTTTTTGATGCCATTCAACGAAAAGTGTAGTGGATAGTCACTACTGGAGGGTTCATAAAGGCACATTTGTCTGTTGTGAAGTCGGGGGGTTTGCCCCGTGCATTGAATTTTGCATGGCAAGACAAATTCGGAAAATGCAAAATGAGTTACGGGGTAACTGTTTCCCATGCCCCCCCCCCCCTACTATTTTGACCTGGCTAGAACCCTGCCATCATATCTTCTTGCTAATGGTACTACTTGGGGACATACAGCTCTATTGCTTCCAACTGGACATTTGCTTCGTTAGTTGCTGCTCATCATGAGCAAGTTGCTGCTAGCAGTCTAGCATTGCTTGCCAGTTCTTCGAGCTCTTGCATTACGAGACCAGTTACTCAAAGTAACACATTGTCTCCAAAGCCAGTCGTTGTTGCCCTGACTGAGTGTGAATATGTGAGGAATTGGATGCTAAATAGTATTCCAACCAGTGATGCACACTAACCCAGTTTTCAAGAACGAATACTCTATCAAATACCAAATCTTTCAACCAACGAATATTCTAGTATTCGTTGAAATTTGTTGACGGCCCAGAAACTTCCGCATTGCGTCTGCGCTTTTCGCCTGGGACACCTTCGCATCCGTGGCAGCTACAGCCGTCGAGCAAGTAACATGCCATCGGGGAAGATTTTCCCACATTGAGCTCGTAGTCGAGCCATTGAACTTGAGCTTCGTCTCGCAGAGTTTGCATTTAACTTTTGCGCCTCCATCAACTTTCTCGGAGTGCTCCTAAACGGAGCTGCTACGACCAGCTGTACCAGAAGCCATCACAAAAAAACAAACTGGATGTCCAGAACGTTCTTCAAAGTTAAAGAGAGGGGTGAGTTGGACCGAACTAAAGTAGTAAAGAAGAAGGCATTATGGGTTCCCACTTCGCAACAGTACATTATATGCACTGTACTCGTACAACTACACGTGCTCTTCACAACTGTACTACAGTGCCGGCACTGTATTGTTACTACTACTAACTGTTTGGTGCGCGCTCACACAGGCCGGATTCATCAAGTACACGTACGGTAACCGCTGTACTGTAATCTGTAGCACACGGCTGTTTTTTTGTGCGATTTCATGCCACTTTACAATATGGCCGCCGAAAGTCTCGATCGGGCTTCAATGGCAAGAAAATTTGAATTTTCAAATCGCCAGAACCCAAGTAGGCCATGGTTTCCCGTGGATTTTGGTGACTGGTTAGCCCGGACAGCCTTGGGGACACGCTAATCACGTGCGTCTTGTTTCAAGCTTTCCGCTCGTAACTCACATGCCTGCCTTTCCTTCAAGAAACATTTGTTCTGCGTCGTGCAACTTTCGCGTCACTCTGAAGTACTCCTTGTGTCGTCGCTGTCAAACTCGGCCCCGAGAAGCCTTTCCTGGATTTTTTCCAGGCTAGATTGCAATTTTCCCAGGTAGAGGACTATCCTCTGGTTGTTTTCCCGGAGTGTCGTTGTTGTTCGCGCATGAACTTCTGAGTTCGGGAGGCGGGTCAGGAACCTGCTTTCTCTTGATGCGGAAGACAAATGGCGTGGCCCTTTAGTTGCTGTTGAGTCTAGAAGGCTGCTTCCTGCTGTAAATTGCTTAGTTGGAATGTGGGATATTGTAGAAGAAGACAGCAGCCGGCCAAGTGAGCTGGAAATTGTGATATCTCTCATATTGTGCGTTGAACGAGTACGAAATGTCCAATTTGAATATTGTACACGCGCGCACGCCAAGCAGAGGCCGATGATCACAGGGCCGGTCAATCTCTGGACTACCAGGAGTAGTTTTGAGCAAGTTTGAAGCGGAAAGACAGTTAACTGGGCAGGCCAGGACGCCTTCCCACCCTTTTTCTCTCTCAAATTACCTAAAAGTTGAGTATCTCGCTCGAGCGCTTTCTCTTGGATTCGCTTCCCAAATCGTGAAACCTCGCGAGGAGCGACATGAGTTTCTTCCAAAAACGCAAACTCATCGCGTATATGCTATGCACTATTCGTACAATGTTACATAAATCGCACGGAACGACGCCATACTTATAAATGCCTGTGCTGGAACAGCCGTGAGCAGCGGCCATAGCTCTACTGCCGTTAGCGCAGGGTCCACATGTACTCGTACAAAACTAGCATGCATGCCACACATAGAACATGATTGTACAGCTCTTCGAACGAACTTTATTACTATTCGACTATTCGTGTGCATCACTGGTCATGACTTGTAATTTTTTGGCGGAAAAGAAGTTTGAGAATTGATTTGTCACTTACCTGCCTGCAGCTGCTTGGCCTCCTTCATAGAGAGTCAGAAAAAACAGAGGCACAAATCACACATATGTGTTTTACATGCTCTCTCTCTCTCTCTCTCTCTCTCTCTCTCTCTCTCTCTCTCTCTCTCTCTCTCTCTCTCTCTCTCTCTCTCTCTCTCTCTCTCTCTCTCTCTCTCTCTCTCTCTCTCTCTCTCTCTCTCTCGCGCTCTCTCTCTCTCTCTCTCTCTCTCTCTCTCTCTCTCTCTCTCTCTCTCTCTCTCTCTCTCTCTCTCTCTCTCGCTCTCTCTCTCTCTCTCTCTCTCTCTCTCTCTCTCTCTCTCTCTCTCTCTCTCTCTCTCTCTCCCTCCCTCTCTGTCTCTGTCTGTCTGTCTGTCTGTCTGTCTGTCTGTCTGTCTGTCTGTCTGTCTCTCTCTCTCTTAGTTCCGTATTGTATTTTCCGGAACATAAGCCGCAATTTAACCCTTTACCGGCAGCCCCATACTTGAATGCGTCAACGTTGACGCATTCGACAGGCATACAAAATCATGCCTGGCATGACGGGAAGCATCAGCCCACGGGGATTTCCCGTGGCCCTCAAACGGCCTAGGTATGATCCTATCGGTAGCTGAAGAGATCCACGCGTGTCCCATTTGATTTCATTGAGAACTGCGCGATCGAAAACTTACGGAAATACACGCGCGCCGACAATGCCGTCCGCCTCCGTCAAAACATCGTCGGGTGCATTTTCTCTTGCGCAGTGAGTTCCTTTCGTCCTCGGATGACTTCTCCGACGACGACCTAGCAGTCATTCGCTCTGGGACCGACGACAGATAGATAAATACTTCGTTCCAGCCGCCGATGCAAGCGAATTTCAAATTACGGAGCGGTGCGCACGCCAAGTAAATTCTCACGCAAATATGGGGAGCGCCAGCCGCTGAAGACGATGTCGTCGTGATGTAACTGGAAGAATCTGATGGTGCTTGTGGTGGGGAAGCCATGGAGAGCGATTCCCGTGTCGACAGTCTCCCAGAGACGGAATTTTAGCCCATCGACTTTCTACGTACCTGAGTGACGGCAGCGCAGCGCGGCTTGCGTACGACCTTACGGAGCTTTCCGACAGCGATTCTGGGGCGATGCTGCTCTCATTTGCGAGCGAGGCATGGCCACTGAAGTTTGTGATGGCTATGGCGTTTGTTTCCGCTCCGAAGTCGACTTGTTTTGGCAGTATCATGTCAATGTCGGAACTCTGACGATTTGCATGTGTACAATTTCCGTGTTTAGACGTAGAGGTGCCAATTTAGCAGCGTATGTGTGTGGTATCAGAAAATAAATTTTTCCATGGTCAAGAAGTAGTACTAGACTTCCAATAAAACATAACTTGCACATACAAAATGTGGCCTCGTTGTGAGTTATTGGTATCGTTCTAAATGTTATGGATTTCATATACAAAAGTAACTTGCCGGTAAAGGGTTAAGCACTTGTAATCCCCCCAAAAATAAATGTCGGTGTGGCTTATACTACCATAGTGAAATGAACTGTGATATACAGGATAGATGTGGGTTTTTCGTGACAAAAATGACAGAACAAAAATGACAGAACAAAAATGACAGGACAAAGATGAACCTAGAGGCGACGAGATGAACAAGGAACTCACGGCACAGGGTAAGCCCGAAGTTTCTGGTTTCAGACCGTGTTATATTTTGAAAATACCAGGGGATTTCCCTTTAGCACGGGGCACGCCTGATGGGCATAAAAAAGTGCATGGACCTCAGCTTTTCAGAGCAGTAAGAATCGTGAAAATCGGTTGAGTTTGAGCAAGAAGCTGAAAAAAAATGCTAGATTGAGTTGTTGTGGCGTTTCCAAGGCATGATACGGGAGTTTGTAAAGGACATGGAAGTGGCCCTGATGAGCCTATCGAGCTGAGAGTTGTCAGGATGGATTTGTTTGAAATTGTGACATGCATTATACAGTATGACAGGATATACAGGCAGGAGCTGTATAGGCTGAATTTTAATGGGGCCGAAAAGGATTTTGGCCTGCGGATGCTGAAATTTAAAACGTGCTGAGAATTTGTAGACTTACAGTATCCAGTGTCCAGTATCACAGTAGTAGATATCAAACTCAACTCACTTACTAAAGCCACAAGTCGCGAAGATACTCAAGGCAAGATGCAAACTGGAATAATTCACTGGAGCTGGTTGTCGTCGCAGTGATTTCCAAGTGTCCATTGTACACAGCACGTCCAGCATAGTGCTTGCATTTAGCTCCAACTCTGGCAACAGAGCGACAGGCGAAGCCCTATCCATTTATCAACTGGGCCGTGCGGATACGACTTTGAGTTTGGCATGGGAGTGGCTACACATTTTCCCCTGTTACAGTAAATATCGGATATAACGTGCCCCTTTGATTTTCGAAAATTTATCACTATATCCGGTGCATCACTATAGCCGATTTGCATGTTTGACCGACACATGGCACATGACTGCACATGAAATGATGCGTACACGCTGGAAAAAGCATGCTGAAAGTGCATGCATGCTCCGCGGACTGAGTACCGGTGCATGACACAGAGCAGTGCATGGCAGTGCAGTACGAGTACAGACTGTACATTGTACTTCGATACATCATGTGGCATGGCTGCTTCTTCAGCGTGTTCTCCAAACAAAAAAAGCCTGAGCTGGATCCGTACTCGCGTACTCGGTGTCCAACGAGTTTCGTAGAGCCAGAAATAGACATGAGTGGCTGTGTACGTACACAGCCACTCATGTCCGTGAGTTGGCAACATCATCGTGAGAGGCAACACAGCCAGAAACGGACAAAAAGCGTGCAGAAAGACACAGAAAAGGACAATACCATACAAAGGGAGCGAGGGGTAGCGCAGCCAGAAAAGGACATGTGTGTGCAGGTAAAATAATGGGTTGGTGCAAAAAGAGATCATGAGTACGTCGAAAAAAACAATTGTTTTGTGATCATCACTCTTGATCATTATATGCGATATTTTCCTGTACATTTGATATGGTTTGCTTCCTAAAGTCCATCACAATAAGCGATATATCGGTATAGCCGATAATAGTGTATATAGTGATATTTCAGCTGTATTTTTTCTGATTTGATTTTGATTTTGACGTGTTCTATCACTATAACCGGTATATCATTATATCCGGTCACTTTATAAACGATACTTACTGTACTAGTGCAGCAGTTTTGCCGCGCCCATCATCATCATCATCCTAACCCCAGTTGTCGTTCAGGACCGTACGGGTTCGTCGTATCAGTGTTGAAAGAGCAGCGGTTGTCACTGCTGGGCAGACGAGATGGCCCATCCGCTATGCGGGCCATACCGCGTGGGAATCATTGTAATGTCACGGTTCGCGAGTTGCGCAAACGTTGCGCTTGGCAATTTGGCCAGAGCAGTTCGTTAGAAATCGTGGCCACCGTTATCAGAAATCTCGGTGGCAGTTCCGAATTCACCCCGCGTCTCCAGAGCAGACTTGATAGCGTAGCTGATCATCCGGAAGACCATTTATCAGTCGGGATGGTACTTGTCCATCGGATCACTGTTGGCAGAGCAGCTGTTGCTACCGCCGAGGGGACGAGACGCTCCTGCTGCGCGGGAGTGCGGTGAGGAACATTCGACATACCACGTAACCAACGGAGAGCAGTTTTCAATGCCTCTGAATTCTGACTACTACAAGGTGCTTTGGTGCACCCTGCCCCGCAGGTTCTGACACCACTGTCGCCTGTGGGTGACATTGAATAGCGGCAGCAAATTGCTTTCTGTTGATATGGTTGGTCAATATTCACTACCTACCCTCGCCCCGCCGGGGGCAAGTCATGGTTGCCGGGTGCACGCACGCATTCATGCCGACGTATCTGTGCCTGTCATGCTATACTTTCTGTCCGGAATATGTTGAACAAAAAATGCCTGCGTGCCCCTTTTGACGCCCGATCAGTACATTACGGCTTGTGCTTCTATTTGTTCCGCACTCACCACCGGCCTATGAACTCGCTGGTCGACGCTTTGTTCTGGAGTCTAGTTTTGTTTGCATTGAACACCTCATTAACAATTCATTCGCGCGGCGGCCGCCTGCGTCAACTCTATGGCTCACTGGCCGAGAGTGAGATGGCACCTCGGTGTGGTGATAAGACGTGGTATATCTTGACGCTGTGCACATAACATTGCCTGGCCAGGACTACCAGTATGCTGGCTGATAGCGTGGGCAACCCACCCTGTCCTGGATTGACCATCAGTCTACTACCGTCGCCTCGTTCAGTGTTACCTGGGCCCTTCTCTTTTTGGGGAAACTTGGCCAACAAACCAATGTGCTCAAAGGCTCGCTGACAATGTTGTGCAAGTTTGCGCCCACAACCGCCACGCGTCCCACCAAGATAAATCGGGCAGGAGGAAAGTGCTCTATGGCTTGGATCCCCAGCTTGCACGTGCATACGCACCAGATGCGATCTGGAGGCGCATTATGCATGGCTCAGCGCCGGGCAGGCTAGTAGCCAATAGAATGAGCTAACCTGGAACTGATGGCCACCGTTTGCACTTTTCCAGGCCAGTATCAGTGTTAGTGATTGGTATGTGGGCCAACGCCAGCATCTTAGAGCAGTGTGAGCGCGTAGTCAGCAGGTATGGCAGTGGTGAGGATATGGACGTGTGCTGTACCTATGTGCATGTACACGTGGCAGGCGCGTATGCTATCGGGTCAAGTGATGGATGAGATGCAGAAGTACGGGTGGTGAGAGTTTGTGACTACTGCTAGAGTGGCTAAGGCGAAAGCAGCCATCAGGGCTGGGCAAGATGGCCTGTTCGCTGGTTCGGTATGTGCTTTTGTAGGCCGACAGGCTGTATGCGGTATTGGCGACGATCGGGCCAGTAGGTGGGCTCAAGCGAGCAGCTTGTAGTGGTCTACAGGCGTTTATTCTCTGTCACATGAATGCGAGGCGGTCGAGAGAATGCTGGTGCGTGCTTATGAGCATGTGCGTGTCGGTGAGTGTGTGGGCGTTCTTGGCGAGCTTGTATGAGGTTATATGCCTGTGTAGGAAGAGAATATGCGGATGTGTACGAGGCGAGAGAGTTCTCGTGGATACTGTGAAAGCCACAGTTTATACTGCTTTGCTAGCCGGTACCGTGTACCCTGGTCAGAGCAATTGATGAGGTAGCGGCGGCATCATATGAATATGCATAGGTATAATGCGGAGGGTACAAATACACCTTCCGTAGTGGGGGTGCCATGGCTTCTAGGTTTATTACTTTTTTGGGTGCGAATGGGCATTATATCGTATGCGAGTGGTGTGACGCCTAATGCCAGGTAGTTGCGTGAGTTCTTGGCCCCGGTGGTCGTTCGTTTGCCCTCGCTGGGCAGTAAAATTTCGGCCTTAGGCGAGACCAAAATAAAATCGAGATTCCCGGGCAGGACCCGTGTGAAATTGGTGCGGGCGGGCGAATTTTATTTTATATTTTTTCCCATGTATGTACATGACTATATGTGTGCATGCCATGTTGAACTTTTTTTACACAATTTTCCGGTAATTTTTATTCAATTTTTTTACAGACACCAGGTACACGGTTTACCCGTTCAATTTTTCTATATTTCGGCCAACGATGGCCCTGATCTGTACATCAGGGAGTCGTACAAGCTCGGGTTTGTGTGACTCCACGTCACGGATCTACTCACACGATCAGTACTGTACATGTATGAACTGTTCAAAAAAACAAAAAAAAATTGGCTACGGCTCGATTTTGGTGCGGGAGGGCCCGGGAATCTCTATTTTTTTCGGTCTCGCCTTAGCCGGAAGTTTGCTTTTCTCTTGGCGAGCAGGTTGTCGGCCTTGGTGGCTGTTCGTTTGCTCAATATGCAGTATGATTCAGCCCTCGGCGGGCAGTATATAATCGGCCCATGGTGGGCAGCATGCTTTGGCCCTCGGTGGGCAGGCTATTGGCCTCGACGGCCGTTGAGCGCCCTCGGTTGGGCGGTATGCTTTAGCCGGTAGGAAGGTTGCTAGCCTCGGCGGCCGTTCGCACGCCCTCGATTGGGCTATACGCTTCTTCTTGCGCCCTCGGTCGGGCTTTAATCATGCGCCCTCAGTTGGGCTATAATCATGTGCCCTCGGTCAGGCTATAATCATGCGCCCTCGGTCGGGCTATAATCATGCGCCCTCGGTCGGGCTATAATCATGTGCCCTCGGTTGGGCTATAATCATGCGCCCTTGCTTGGGCTATACGCTTCTTCGCGCGCCCTCGGTTGCGCTGTATGCTTTAACCCTCGATGGGTAATCTGTTGGCCTCGGCGGCCGTTCATGCGCCCTCCGCGGGCAGGTTGCTGGCCACGTCGGCCATTTGTGCGCCCTCCGCGGGCAGTATGCTAACGGCCCACGGTGGGCAGGATTACTTAGCCCTCAGTGGGATGGCTGTTGGCCTCGCCGGCCGCTCGTGTCACCAGCCCACGGTTGGCAGCTGCAGGCTAGCCCTCGGTTGGCCGTTCGGTGCGTCTGCCCCCGGTGGGCAGCATGAATCACTGACGATCGAATGTGATGATATGGCGCAACTATTATCGTTTGCTTTCTTGGAACTGGGCTATCATCACATACTATTACATTTAATATCTTTAATCAAATTGAAGTCATGGCAACCCCCAAACATATGCGTTGATTGTTTGTGAGTGCGTGCGTGAGGATGTCGTTGTACACACAGACGGGGCGTGGGAGTGTCTGCAATTATGTTTGTGCACATGAATGTGTGTGTGTGTGTGTGTGTGTGTGTGTGTGTGTGTGTGTGTGTGTGTGTGTGTGTGTGTGTGTGTGTGTGTGTGTGTGTGTGCGATTTCATCATCCGCTCCACCGGACCGACAAACGATTACGTGTGTTGGACGTCGTCTACATAGCCTCTTGAGGTTGCCGAAGGCCTACAGGTTTTGCTGCTACGAATGGTTTTACTCTACGATAGACAAGCCTCTCTTTGAAAACGACAACGACGATTTTTCAAGTCTTCTAAAAGCCTGCTTCCCCAACCTGAAGACGCGGATGCTGACCAAAGCCCAGTGGGGGCACGTGCGGAGACTAATGGGCAAGCCAAGACGTTGCTCGGCAGCGTTTTTGGCTCAGGAGCGGCGCTCTCTAGAGGAGAAGCGGAAACTGATCCGAACCCTCCGAGCGAACAAGCCGGTCGGGTCGTTCAACTACAAGAACATGGAGTTGCCGCGGGAGATTCCGGCGGCGCTCACAATCGGCACCAACGTAACAGCTTGGTTACATGGCTCTCCTAGTGAGAACATGTTCGGTTTGTTCACTGGCGTTGTGGAGGCCATCGACCAGGCCAACGGACAGTACAGAATACGATTCGATCGGAAAGGTCTCGGGACTCACAATGTACATGACTGCGATGTTCTGAGTAACTCGCGTGTGGAGACGATGCCTATTTCACCGATGCCTCCCATCCCACCTTCTCATGAAAAGCACAATTTTCAATTCAGTCCATTATTCACGCCCGGCCTGACACCGCCCAAGTTGGTAACTGGCACTCCGGGTGGCACCTCTCTACCAAGACTGCTCAACGACCCACACATGGGAGCACAGGGTGTCACGCCAATCTACAACAGCACGCCCATCGCAAAACAGTCGGTCCCTGCGAGCTCAACGAACGGCACCGGCAACACGGAAATGCTGCGTGGCTTCCCAACGGACTTCTTACGTGTCGTGGCTCAGCTGACTAAGATACTGTCGTTCAAGCGCGAGCGTATCAACCGACTCAAGGAGCTCAACTCCGAAGCAGAGAGACTGGATCTTATCCAGCAGCCGCGCAGTGCAGAGTTTCAGCAGCAGTATTCCTACGTGCTGCTCGATCTGGAGGCTCTGAACTTGCATCTGAATCAAACCATGCCCAGGGTGACCATGTGGTGTGGAAAGCTGAATCCCAACAGTGTTGATTTGCCAATGTCCATACCGGATGCGTGCAACAACAGAGCGTCTCAGATGGTTGACAGCTTCAACGTCAGTCCTAACGGGACTCCACGTGTGCGTAGTGATCGTGCGGTGCTCCTGATTACAAGACTTGTGTCACTCCTTCTGCAACTTCAAGAGGCAAGTAGAGGGAACACGGTCAACGCGTATGAGCTGGGTTGCATCCACGAGTCGCTGCAGGAACTCAAGAGCAACCCAAACATTGTCTCAGCGTCCAATGTTGGGATGTTTGAGAACAGTGTTGAGGTGCACATCCAGCACATCATGACCGGTCTCTATCAGCGCGGCTCGCTTTACCAGTACAGCATGGCGCAGGCGCAGCTGCAGCCAGTGCCACCGCCGGCGCAGCCTCACCAGCCACCGCCACCCCCACCACCACCGGTATCACAGCTGCAAGCACTGCCACCACAGGCACCACCTCCACCACCACAGCCGCATTCTCAGCAGCAACAGCAGAGTTCACAAACAGCATCGCAGCTCCAGCAACCAGTCTTCCAGCAGACGCCGAGAACGCTGCAGGTGCAGCAGACACCGGCAGCCCAGCAGCAACAACAACAACAGCAACAACCTGCCAGCATACCAGCGTCGGCAGCTGCAATTGGCCAGCAAGTTGTGAGCAGTCACTTGCACACAATATCCCTGTCGGCTCTACCCAGCATGGCGCCCACCAACGCCAGCTCCAGTACTCGGCCAGCAGAGCAAGACATGCAGGTACAACCCCAAGCGCAAACAACACAGCAAGCGCAGCAGCAGTTCATCCCTGTGCCTGCACAGCCGGGTGCGTTTTGATAACCGCTTTCGTTTTGGATCGCTGCTGCCCTGTGTCCTGGGTGTTCCGTGACACATTGCGTTTGGCAGTATTGTACAAAGCCATTCTCCTTCCGTCCCCTCCAAGAAGTCATGTATTGTCCGTATCTTGAACTGATCTGTCAGTCCTGGCCAGGCACCGGTACGTTCCATCACTGCAGCGCTGCGCAGGTGTCCAGCTAGCCGGCATGCGGTGTCTGGTTGACGTGCTTGTTTGAATGCTAGACTGAGTTCTAGCCTAGCCTCACGTCAATCTCTACTCAGTGAGTACAGTGTCCGTGTACATATTGATTGACTGGTGTGTGTGTGTGCGTGCGTGCGTGTTTGTGTGTGTGTGTGTGTGTGTGTGTGTGTGTGTGTGTGTGTGTGTGTGTGTGTGTGTGTGTGTGTGTGTGTGTGTGTGTGTGTGTGTGTGTGTGTGTGTGTGTGTGTGTGTGTGTGTGTGTGTCTCATATGGTGCAGTGGTATGTGCAGCGATTTCCAATCGAGAGGTTGCGGGTTCGATTCCCGACGATTATGGTCACACACGTCTTTCTTCTCTTTCTCAGACTTCTCCTGACTTTTCTTTCATTCTCCTGGGTGGTTACCAACAGCCAGTGCATGCTGGAGTATGTGGTGTGATGTGTGTGCGGGAAAAAATGAAAAAAGACCAAAAAGTAGGGATTCACTGGCCAGAAAAAGCCACTTCATAGCTGTGTGGTGTAGACCAGGCTGAATAGTGGCGGTCAATTCTTCAGCCTTGCAAGTTGTTGAATGGTGCAATCCCAGCACAATCTGCTATGGCTTCTGCTGTAGCATCGCTATCATCGCCTTTGGCGATGGGCGTCCAATGGTCCAATGGTGTGTGTGCGTATGCAGAGGTATGCCTGCAAACCTGGGCGTGTACCCGTGGGCGTGGGTTTTAAATTTTGAAATTCCCGTTTGAAAAATTATCCCCCACACTACATTTGCATGGCGCACTTTCAACACCGGCACTTTTGCTCGTGTGCAAAGTATAATCGTGAGTTTCAACACCGGCACTTTTGCTCGTGTGCAAAGTATAATCGGGAGTTTCAACACCGGCACTTTTGCTCGTGTGCAAAGTATAATCGTGAATTTCAACACCGGCACTTTTGCTCGTGTGCAAAGTATAATCGTGAGCACTAGGGCCCCGGCCAAGTTCAAAAATCAGTTGTAAGCGTGTGTCCAAGTTTATTGTATGGGAGTAAATATCCTTGGAAATGTACGATAAATTTGAGTTTGGACGTCGTGTGAATGGCCTACTTGATCCGCCAAGTTAAAATTGCCACTTATCTCCACTCTTGTTGCAAAACGAAAATACAAATATTCGAAGCATGGCACGATCAGAAAACGCTATGTATATGATACTTTACATGTCAGAAAGCAACTCAGCCGAAAATCCTAGCAAGTTACACGTCCTCCTCGCCACTATCGTCGCTGGAGGAAGAGCTCACAACATTCAATCCAGCACGTTTCATAGCTTGTTATACTTCTCTTCGTCTCGAATCACGCTCAAAGGCAGTCACCTGTCGTGCCTGTCATATTGCCGCTCAGAAGCTGAGTGAGAGTACCCGTGTGGTGGCTGTATGTGTTATCCTCGTTCGTCGCAATAAGGCCTTTCTTTGAGGCAAAAAGGCAACACCACATCACTGGCAGTTTTTCAAATCGCCTCTTGCGCTTGTCGTACTTGCTGATCAGCACCCACGCAAGCCGCTGGTGCTTGTAGTGCAGTGATAGCTTCTGCTTGATGTAGCACCTGTGCCTAAAGCACCTAACGTCTTGCACCATTGTCGCACTAACTCTGGAGCAGGCATAGCTCTTTTCTGCGAGATCCGTGCAAGTCATTTACACGAGAGTTTCCCTCAGGAGTCGGTGTTTTATTTGATCAGCTCCCTTGCCAAGTCCTCTCTGAGCTTCAGAGTGTGTCCGTCGGATTGGTCTCGCATTCTGGAGATGTCGATATGATCTGTAGTTTCTTCGTCGGTGATTTGCTGGTGAAAACTCTTCACTAGGCGATGTACAGTGCGACTACTCAAATTCAAGCTAGCAATGCGCTTTTTCAACTTTTCTACACCTCCCCGCAGAAAACCATCCTTGTCACCAGACAGCTGGAAGCAGGCAGAAACTGTATTCGCCATCGCTCTGAAGTGTGAACATCCTGATCTGGTTTACGGACTGGAGCGGAGGTTGCAGCCTTTTATTGCGGTGACGGAAGTGTTCGTCGGTGGCAGCTCCATTCAAAAAGATTCAACGAATCGATCACAACTTCTGTGGTGGTTTATGCAGCCATGTTGTCGGATGCAATGGTCTATGGTTGTGTTCGGATGGTGAATCGGTGGTTCCATGCGGTATGACACAGGCAGAACACCGAAAAATCAAGTGCGAAGATAAGCGCCAATTGTAACTTGGCGGACCAAGTATTAGCAAACGTCACTTGTCTAGTGAGAAAGTGCCTTGCCTTCGTACACTGTATATTCGTCAGCATACTTTATTCAAACAGGAGTGCATGAAACATTTGGAAATTTGAGAAAAGTCACAAAAGGAGGTGCAATTTACTGTGCATTTCTCCATATCTTTGTTGAAATCGCACGCACTGGATTAAAAAAAAACACTCGTTGTGGTCATGACGAGTAGACCCCTCCGAACTCATCAAACACCAGTGTGCTTCGCGTGGTCAGGATGGGATTCTAACACAGTTTCCTCATTCGTCTTGCCGTTTCACGGCTTGCAAATGGTCCCAATTATCACATGCACTTGACGTCTGGTTGATCAAATGCAGTGGTACCCTACAAAGCCGGCCGGCACCAAATTTAGCGCTTGGTGCACAGAATAGGATATAGTTTAGGTCGAGTGCTGCATTCATCCCCACCCCCACCCCCCCCCCCCCCCCCCATATATCCACAACCAAGCAGTGGCGTGTCCAGGATTTGACTGAGGAGGGTCGCGGTCGGGGGAGATGACATGGTGCACATGACTGTAATGATGTATGTCACGCACCTAGCTGTCCAACATTACAAAATTATTACATGCCAGATATTTCTTCCAGACCTACACTATACAGATTAAAGTATCTCATGCTCAGTTACTACAGTGCGTATCGGTTATAGCGTGGTCGTGTAAAAGAATATACTACTTACAAGAATGAACTCTCATATTTTCATAATCATAACATGGGTTTCAAGTGAACATTTATTCTTACTTCCTCCGCGTCATTAATATTGTCGCTTCCCAGTGCGATTTTTCGAATTTTTATTTTGTCCACTCGAAGGGCAAAGAAATCAGCTAGAAATTGAGGCAGAGCATTGTCGACGGACCAAGATTTAGTTTGTGGCCTCCCGCTTCGCTGCACTTTCAGGTAAGGTCGACGTCTTCATCAGAGTTTGGGGCAGGCCCTTCAGCACTTAAAGGGGAAGTTAAGGCAAAAATTAAAATTTCACCAGTTGTAGTCTTCGGGGTGCTGAGTCGAATGGTCGTGGTCCGAGGAAGCTGAGACGCTCCCTTCCTACTTGAATCCCAATCGAACTCGCGCACTTCCACCGAAACTGGGTGACTGCGCCCTACGAGATGGGGATTTGTATGCAAAATGTCACTAAAAGCGCCATTTCGTTCTTATAAAAGCACGGATGACCGCGATTGGCCCATATGTTGTAGTCTTTTGGACGCTGAGTCGACTGGTTTTGGTCCGAAAAGGCTGCGATGCAGCGTTCCTCCTTTATTCCCAATCGAACATGGTTGAAGAAGCGGTCACGTGGTCCTGGGTGCCCAAATCACCTGGTCACCACGCCAGCAGGTGACAACTTTCACACCAAGGTTCAACTCGAGTTCAACTCGAGTGACAGGACTGCACCCAAAAAAGGTCAAACAGGCTAGTAAGTTGTACCCTGCAGGCACGGTGACCAGGTGACTGGTGTACGCAGGAGCACGTGACCGCTTCTTCAACCATGTTCGATTGGGAATAAAGGAGGAACGCCGCATCGCAGCCTTTTCGGACCAAAACCAGTCGACTCAGCGTCCAAAAGACTACAACATATGGGCCAATCGCGGTCATCCGTGCTTTTATAAGAACGAAATGGCGCTTTTAGTGACATTTTGCATACAAATCCCCATCTAGTAGGGCGCAGTCACCCAGTTTCGGTGGAAGTGCGCGAGTTCGATTGGGATTCAAGTAGGAAGGGAGCGTCTCAGCTTCCTCGGACCACGACCATTCGATTCAGCACCCCGAAGACTACAACTGGTGAAATTTTAATTTTTGCCTTAACTTCCCCTTTAACAATGTGCTGAACAAGACGTGCGTTCAAATTGCGATGTTGCGATGTGCGCAGCGACAATTTTAATGACACGGAGGAAGTACAAGCAATGTTATCGCATTGTAGAGTATATCGGTCCTAAAGCTGTGTTCACAACTGGCGCGTGTACGCGGTACGCTTGCGGTTCATGCGTGCCCAAACGCGCGCTCAGGCTTTCACAAAAAACAGCAATCCGAGTCGTATTTAGCGCGTGCGACACCTTCGAGTACTAATTTTTTGACCCCGCCAGTCAAGGCGACTGGCATGTACGCTGGTACGCGCCTGATACGCGCTGAAAATTCCAACATGTTGGAAGTTCCATTTCGACGCGTTTCCGTACGCATGGCGCCCCAAAAGCCAGCAAAAATACGCACAAACACTTGATTTCACGCGTACACGCGCCAGTTGTGAACACAGCTTAAGAATGGACTTTGTGTAGCACAACATACCAGATTGGTACAAAGTGTATCGCCTGTAGATGAGTGTAGTACAGTCAAACCTCGTTAGGACGAACTTCAAGGGACTGAACAAATTTGTTTGTCTTATCAGGAGTTCTTCTTATCCAGATCTGACAAAAAATCGATATGCATATCAGATGGATTGTATTTACGTGAAGGTGCATGCTGTGGTACATGGGAAGCATGTTATTCTTAGCATAAGCCAGAAACAGGTAAGTACAATGACAAAGTGCAATGAATCACGACGGTGTCGAAAGTTCGTACAACGCACTGATTATTTTCAATATTTTGTTCAAAACACGCTTGAAAACAATTTGCACTGTACGTACAATATGACCTCGACTATTGAAAAAAAGAAGAAAAAAAGGCAGCTAGCGCACGCGCACGCTCGTGGACCGAAAGTTCGTACTACATGTACTTGACCACACTGATTTTGTTCAAATCACACTTGAAAATAGTTCGTCTTCGCGAAAGTTCGCTGTACAGAAGTTCGTCGTAAACGAATAATTTTGACTTGAATTGATGCCTGGCCAACCATAGGATTGGCCTTAGTTCGTACTAATGGAAAGTTCGCCTTATCAGTGTTCGTACTAACGAGGTTTGACTGTAATAACATCTGTCCAATGCAGTTCTGCTCCGACTCGCATTGCATTGTAGTGCTCCAGGTTCAACTGTTCTTGTCATGTATCTCATGCTGCATAGCCACATGGCAAGCGTATGGGACTATGAACACCCGCATGCACAGCAGAGATACGTTGTATGTATGATGACCATCCTGTATCTGCGCACATGTATCTGATATGTCACACTTGACTTATCGCGAGTAAGAAATATTGCAAATAAGAATAGAAAGTCGTTTTTCAAACACCCACGCTATAACCGATACCTACTGTACATTGTACAATCATCAGTCATGTTACTTGTACAGTACATCCTTGCCCAATTTTTATTGGAGCATATCATGCTGTTCTTCATCATGTTTTGGCTGCTCACTGACAACCGGTACTGGTACCTCCGCGTCGGGTGGAATGTCAGTTCGTTCCGAACTGGACTGGCAACGACTTGATCACTCCCACTGTTTCCTGTTGGAACAGGAATTGCGCCATCGCAAGAACACTTTGCAAAAATCCATCAAGGCTCTGCTGGCCAGAGCTTGTCTTCTTTGGTCCATGGATGTCGCTGAGACTTCGCAGAAAAGTCTTCAGGCCAACCAATTCGCGATTCATATCTGGAGGGGATCATCCTCAAAACATCGTTGTACACCGTTGCGAAAAGAGGCGCTTGACGATCACAAGCTTTGTTTTTGTCCCACTTGGGCAGCGCTGCGTTCAGCAACCAATGCCGCTCACACACTGACGGTCCGTGCAACCAGTTTTGGACGCTGCTTCCCACCGCGTAGAGTCTACCGCCTGTGCACATGGTGCATGTAGCAGCCTGGTGTTTTTTCAAACCCAGGTCGAAATGTTTTGAGGGGGGGGGGGGGAAGAGCGTGCCCCCCCCCCCCCCCTTATACTCGCGCCATGTGATAGGGACCATTAGCCAGCCGTGAAACTGCAACGCGAAGGGGGAGCTGGGTTAGAGTCCCGTCCTGACCACGCGAAACATACTCGTGTTTGACGAGTTCAGAGGGGTCTACTCGCCATGACCGCAACAAGTGGGTTTTAGTCAAGTACGTGCGAATTCAACCATGATACGGAGAATAGCACCGTAAATCGCGCCTCGTTTGGTCTTTGCGATTTTCTTCAAATTTCGAAAAATGTCTCACCCATTCTTGTTGGAATAAATACGACGGCGAAACGTACCAAACAACCGGTAGGACCATTGATTTTGCCATAACCGTTACTAACATGACACAGAACAGGATCGAGGGTAACCACAGTGCCAACATTTATGCTTGTTCAAGACAAACTCCAGCTTGCTTGTTCATTTATGTTTTGGCATGGACCTCGTGAACACAACCCTTTGCTGCACCCACCCATCGGCAATGTGGCTCTCATGGGGTTTCTTTCACGTTCATTCGGGTAAAAGTCCTCAATCACGCCGTGTTTCACATGCGTTACGATGAACTCGTTCCCGTTGACGTTTCACGGCTTGCTAATGGTCCCTAATAGTTCACCCAGCCCCCCCCCCCCCCCCCCGTTCAATCTCAGGCTGGCTATGACCATGGAGACAATATCGTTATTTCGTACTCGGACCCGTCCCCCCACTCTGAAACGAACGCAGCTTGCTATGCTGGACGACGATAATCGCATGCATGTACAAGTACAATGTACAGTGTCGGTCGAGTTGTGATTTTGGCTCGCACCCCTTCACCCCCCCCCCCCAAACAAATGATGCTCTCGTTTCAGAGACGACAAAAAACTTTTGCGACAACCCCTAATGAAAACTGTACAAGCTCACGCGCCCACAGACTCGTAGTACATGCCCCGTACGGTATGACTCATCATCTCCAGAAAAGTCAACAAAACGAAACATTCCGCCATGGCCAGACCAAGCGGAGTTACACACTCTCGTGTTTATGTACTCTTGATCTCATGGACAGCTGTACAAATGTAGGACATGGTGGTGGTAGGTGAACCTCACGTGACTCACGTGACACCTAGTCACTGCGTAGTTCAACCAATCAAATGTACGACACGCTGTAATGTTTACTGTAGACACACAGTACATCTAAATTCAGTCACTCACAGTCAAGTCTACTGTACATACCTTCGCACTCTCGTGATCCACCAGCAACTGCACACATCCCTTATGATTCCTTTCCCTGGCTAGGTCCAACGCTGTTCTCCCTTTCTGAGTAACTCAGCAACACACCACAGGAACAACAGAAAATCATTTTTGAGAAAATTCGTTCCAATTTTAGAAAAACGAAAACACAACGAAGGCCAAGGACATAATCTACAACGAGACGAAATCAATCTCTCCACAAGACGACTTACATGTACAGAACAAGTCTCTCCTTCCTCAGCAACATTGCTACTCCATGCAGTTCATGCCTCGACAAATTTGAATTTTTTTACAGATTTCTACTCGAATGAAAATATCCACGACGAGAGGAAAGCGTCCACAGCGCCTGCTCCACGTCAGGAACAACAGCATGTCTTCTGCGTACTCGTTACAATAATAACAACCCTTCACTCCTCACTCGTTCCAACAAACACCATCAAACAGGCTTCTACTCCTTCACACACTGATTTTGAAATTCTTCAAAAATTGAACCACAGAGTGAAAATGACCACGTGGCGATATTGTACGCATGATGTCATCGAGTACGGTATCGTACAACTCGTACACATTTCTGACAAGAGGAGAGGAGAGGAGAGTTGTGGTAGTCGTGAGAGAGAGAGAGAGAGAGAGAGAGAGAGAGAGAGAGAGAGAGAGAGAGAGAGAGAGAGAGAGAGAGAGAGAGAGAGAGAGAGAGAGAGAGAGAGAGAGAGAGAGAGAGCGAGGGGCAGAGAGAAAGAGAGAGGCAGGACAGGTGAGAAGGACGAGTAGAAGCTGTTCACTTCACAACAACACACAATCAAATACTTACACCGTCACGCAGTGTGGTATCCAAGGTGACACCGTCACTGTCATGTGACAGCATCACCTTGACAACGTTGATCTTGTTCATGTAGACTGCCCAGTGAAGTGGAGTCCATCGTTCCTGTAGAGAAAGAGAGAATGTGATGAGTATTGCCAAGAGTAGATAAACAAGAGTGTGCAACTCCGGATCTCTTCTGCACAATCTGCAGATACCCCCGCCCACGGCGGAATTTTTTGTTGACGTCACCTTTTTTCAGGGAAACGCGGACTTTGCCGCAGAGCAGTGTGAGAGCACGTGCTGGGCACCGACCTTGTAGTGCAAGACCCGCCAAGTGCACGAGGGAAACCTCTCCGAAAGGCTCGCAGCGCGGGCGTCGTCGAAAAGATTACGTCAACAAAAAATTCCGCCGTGGGCCAATCCATCCGCGAGTTGCACACTCTTGTTTATCTACTCTTGGTATTGCTATACAACCATTACACTAACTACTACAACCACACACCGACACAGACCTGGAAAACTAGAACAAACGCATCAACACACACACACACACACACACACACACACACACACACACACACACACACACACACACACGTGCGCTTGCACACACTCACACACATACGCACGGGCGCACATGCACATACACACGCACATGCACACACACATGCACATACATGTACACACATGCAGATGTACATACACATGTGGACATACAAACAGAAGGACACACATGCAGAAACAATGAACAGATTGTCTTAGACACACACAGATAGACATGTAGGAACATACAAACTGAGAATTCAGTTGAGACAACCAGACTCTAAACTATCACTAGTTCTTACCGCTCTCTCCTGCACATTGACATCAGCTCCACGTCCGATGAGAATATTTGCTAGTTGATCATTTCCACGCATTGCACAGTGGTGCAGTAGTGTCAAGTTGTCCTGTACACACACACACACACACACACACACACACACACACACACACACACACACACACACACACACACACACACACACACACACACACACACACACACACACACACAAAGACAAACACACACAGACACACACGCACACACACACACACACGCACACACATACGCACACACACACGCACACACGCACGCACGCACATACACACACAAACACACATACACGCACACACACACACACACACACACACACACAGGCACATGCGCGCAAGCACGCACACACACACACATGCACGCACACACACACACATACACACACAGGCACAAGCGCGCACGCACACACACACGCACACACACACGCACACACACACATACATACACACACACATGCATGCGCACACACGCACACACAAACACAGGCACATGCGAGCACGCACACACACCCACATACACACACACACACACACGCATGCGCGCGCACGCACGCACACACACACGTGACAGGCACACACACACACACATGACAGACACACAGTCAGTTGTACATCCCAATGACGCGAAGTCTTGGGGCATGTGGACAGACGGATGCATTTTACAGTGCAGGGATACAGAAACATAGGAGCGAAGCGTCAGGCAGACAGACAGACAGACAGGCAGACAGACAGACACACAGACACACACACACACAGACACACAGAACAGCCATGACAAACCTGAACAGTACTGAGTCTTGTAACAATCAAGAACACAACAACTTACGTCAGTTTCGTCTTGCTCATTGACCTCTACACTATGTACACTAAATATGTAGTGTACAATAGTGTAGAGGATATCATCACGAAGACGCCAACGCTCCAAGCAGATCACAAGAATGAGCATTGTCTGTGTGATATACAAAACAGAAAAAAACGATTTGACAATTACAAAAACGACAGCAACAATACTCGCAGTACAATGCCATCAGGAGTTAGGAAACCTACTGATTGACCTCAGGGGTCAGCGATCACAACCAGACAAATTGCCATAACTTTATTCCAGCTTGAGAGAAGCTTGCAGCAATTGCACATCTTGTAAAGGTATGTCACACCAACGATTCCCACTGGTCAACAATCACTTGACAATGGTACAGACAAGAAGACCAGGTGTCACAGAAAACTCCCCCCCCCCCCCCCCCCCCCACACACACACAGACACTGTACAGCAACACTCTACTTACTCCCATTGAGTAGCAGCATTTTGTCCATGTGTATAATGATGATGATGGTGTCCATGTCACTTTACGTGATGTGGAGGACAATTGCGGCTGCTCAGGAGGCACAGCAGCCTGAAGACTTTCCAGTGTGGCACCCCGTCGCCGTACCTCCCGAGCAAACCCATCTACTTCTTGACTGGACATGTCTGAACAGGGACAATGCGTACGCAACACAGACACACAGACAGACAGACACAGATGGACAGACAGACAGACAGACAGAGAACAGACAGACAGACAGACTGCCACACACATGCACACACACGCACACACACACACACACAGATGGACAGACGGATACAAACGGACAGACAGACATACATACAGATGGACAGACAAGGGGACAGAAAATAAGAGGTAAGAAAGACAACAAGTACTCCCATACTATGACATACACAATGATCCAAACAAGATTGATCTTACATGTCAATACTTGCATCTACACTGATGCGTACGCACACACATACACACTCATCATGACGTCATACTCAACACCATATTTAGAGTGGAATAACCTTTGACTCCACGTCCACGGACATGCAGCTACGTCAGTCAATGACTGTGTCAGTAGCTGAAAAACGTGAAGACGATCAATGAACGACATCGCGGGGACATCTTCACAACACACTGCAACACAATGCAATTTACCTGTCTCAGCAAAACCACAGAAACCACCGACAAATGTTACACCTCATTACTACAACTGCCTACGACAACTATCAACGAAAGAATACTGCTCTCCACCTCAAACAACACCAACTCTCGTACCGTTGACAACCAAGAAGAAAACGCCAGTTCGAAGAAAGGTCTCCACACGAAATGAATGGAACAACTTCTTCAACTTGACAAGCACGAACAGTTACAACAGCAAACACTTGATATCTGAGTAAATCTTCATGTCGATCGCATCTAGAAATATCTAGACATCCTCTTGCTCGTCAAGACTACCTTAGTTACAAAGAACTGAAATGTACTTCGTCTACAAGAGGTCAATCAGTAGGTCCCTGAATGGCCGTCACGTTGCGACACGGGACAAGGACAAAGATGGACACAAACGAGACGACAGTACTAACGAAAATATGGGAAGTAAACGAAGAGAAAGAGATGGAGTGCCACCAGTTGTAACTTACATTCCTTGTTGGAGAAACGTTGATGACAGTGAAAACGATCTACTTTTCTCTTCTTTTTCCCTAAAGTGTAGGAAACATGATGAACTTCTCTGGTCTATTGAGAGTTCTGAAAATGGTCTATTCAGTTTCTAACTTGCAATACGGGTAAAGTCACCGTTGAACTTCTCATAGACGAACACGACTACAAGTAGTGAGTCTAAAGAAAGAGCTGAATTGAAGAAAGTCATCTGTGCCGTTTTGTTGAACATTGTCTTCAAGTAGCAGCGAAGAGAAAAGAAGAAACTATTACTTGACGTGGAAGTCCGGAGGGCCTACGGCTGCAAGAAGGTATTCAGCTGCTTGACGGAATGGTGCAGCAAAGGAGTAACTCACTGTTTGAACTTTGGACTTTGATCTACAGGTCATGAACCGCTACTGAACGATCCACCGTTGCTAACTAGACCGATAAGATGTAGCACTCAGTGCGAGAACAGGGTCAGGGAGTGAATCGAATGATTCAATCGCTAACGTGAGCAAATATACCCATTATGTCAACCAGGTCAGTCAGTGCAGTACCTGGCTGGTTTCCACCAAGCATGTGCACACACGCTACAGTCCATTCAGAAAAAAATGGGTCCTGGCTCTGGCGAGCTCCCGTATTTGGCGATTTTTCGTGATTTCATCGTACACAGTGTAGGCCTTGGCGGATAATGCCGGCAGAAAAATTGGCAGAATTCGGTACTTTTCTGGTAAGTTTCATGCATGTTTGGTATGTGGATAAAGAAATGGAGCAGAATTCGATGAATTGCCCGCCATAAGGTTTGTATGGTTCTGCTAATTTCGGTGCAAAAAAAGCAGAATCTGCCACCTTTTCGAGCATTATCCGCCAAGGCCTAACACAGTGCAGTGCTGCGAACTTTGAAATTTGAAAAAGGGTCCAAAAGGGTGCCTGAACTGGGGTTCGAACCGCAGAATGCACTGTTGCAGGCGGGGTCAAACGGCCTGGATTTTGATGGTTTTTTCCAATTCAGTGCTTTTGGGGCAAAACCTGCCCGAAATCCTATTCTTGCTATGGCTTGCTTTTTGGACAAAAAAACTTCAGAAACATAATTGGAAGAGGATTCCATATGGGATTGCAGAAAAAAATTCTAAAAAAACTCAACGTTTGACCCATTTATGGCCAAAAGCTAGAAGTTCATTTTTTTCTGAATGGACTGTAGCTCTCAACCGTGTCACTCAGCCTGATGACCTAGCTCTGGAGTAGGCATAGTCACAGTGTGCTATATCAGTGATACTAATGCTGTAGGGGATTTCAAATAGACCTATAGCACATGATTGTATTTTTACTTACTGAGTGAGTTGTCCGTTCCTTTAAAGATCTTCTTCAAACGTTGGCTGAGTGGGCTGACTGGATAAAGTAGGTCGTTGAGATAAGGAGAGCGTTATGCTGAACTTGTAATTCACTGAGAGAGCGCTATGCTGAACTTGTTACTCACTGAGAGAGCGTTGTAGCCACTACAGACTGATTAGTAGTTGAGAGAAGGAGTAACAATGACTGGAAAGGATAATGCACGACTAACAAAGGTAGGTCAGAGGGACTGTTCAACAACACTAGAATACGTTTGAAACAAAAGAGAAAGGAAGGGAGACGAAAACGGACAACTGGACTGTGCCTTGAGAAATCGATGACTGAGCGGTGCTGACCAAATAGCGATGTGATCTAATGTTTGAACGAATCGTGCATCACATGCATGTGGTAAATGGCAGGAGATGCTCACTGTCTGACAGACCACGGACGGCCACCTACTCATACATTACTGATACTGCTTTAGCTTTGTGGCTGTGTGCCTTAGCGCGAACTCCGGCATCTTTTGTTCGCAGCATTGCGTGTGTGCGTGTGTCAGTGTGTTGTCACGTGATATGCGACACGTCTGCACGATGTCATCGTGCTCTGCACAGACCGAGACAATAAAATGTGTTGTTTACCTAGTCATTGGTGACAAGAATCACATTCACACATGTAGACTACACACATAATGGGGGACCTACACCATTACCACATAACAACACTACCTGTAACCAATCACGATCCTATGCTACGCTCTTCTCATCAAATATGGACAAAGAGCTGATGACATCATGTCTTGGGGTACGTCCCATACAGAGCAGGGTGGTATCGGTGTTGTCAATCTGATTGTCGTAAAATAATTCTAATTTATAACTGGTTGTTGCCAAACACGTGTCACCATAATGACATGACGTCTCTGAGCAACTTGACAATGTAGACACTGTAGTAGCTGCTTGTGTGTGGTCTGGTGTACAACTCAGCAACAGACTGTACATTTGGGTGATCGTGGATGAACAGGGCAGGTGCATTACAGTCATGTAGACTATGTGTTGGCGTGAAATGGTGTGTTGGAGTGTTATTGCTGTTGCTGTTGTTGCTGCTGCTGCTGCTGCTGCTGCTGCTGTTGTTGTCGTTTGTGTTGTTGTTGTTTCAAATCTTTATTCTCAGTCACGATAGCCAGTGGCCAATAAGAGATGATAGTGTAAGAAAGGAGAAAGAGTGAGGAAGAATTGGGTGGGCAGAGCCTAGGGTGTGCACACGTCAGGCAGTTTCTTGGGATCGGGAGAGCTTGATTTGACTGAATTTGACTGACACTGCACAAGAGGTAAATAATTCTTGTTCTTGCTGTGAACTGAAAGAAGACGACGACTAAGGCGCTTGCGCAGAGAGAAAAGAGGCAGGAAAAAACATGGAGGACGTAGCTAAGAGGTGAGTGAGTCAGTAGAAATAATAAACACGCGGCCCAGCTTCGGTGTGGGAACGCGGAAACAAAACCGGGGTAGAGAACACAAACTATGACGTGTACTGCAAATAATCTCATGACGTTGAGCATCATGTCAACGTCGTGACACTCCCCCGCAAGAGATGCAGAGAAAAGGAGATAATTCGTAACAAAGTAACGTGGAAACAAAACACAATAAGTGCATATAACATACGCAAGGGTGAAAGAGAGTAGACCGTCACAGAGAAAGAGAGAGAGAGAGAGAGAAAGAGAGAGTTCAGATGTGAACTACCAACTGTCTAGCTGATTCAACTAAACAAGTTCGCTGCCAATTAATTGGCGAAGCGTCTGACGTTGCTTCATAGCGGCAGCACGTTGTGGACGACTGGGTGGAGCAACAGCTGCTGGAACTGGCAGATCGGCTTGGCCAGTGGTGTGTGTGTGTCCGGAGCGGTGCTGTTGTTGTTAGCCTCAGAGTTAGCAGCAGGACAGATAGGGTACAGGAGAGACAGGGGTCGCTTGAGCTCTGTCTTCTCTGCAGTGATGACGGTTGCGGAACGTATCTCCATGTCCTTGCTTGTATGGAGAGCGACAATGCGACCAAGTCGCCATGAGCCACGGGGCATGTCATCCCTTATTAGTACAACATCGTCAACGGCTGGCTGTTCTGAAGCGGCAACGCGTGCCTGCCGGAGCTTCCGAGTGTGACTGTTGCGGAGATCAACCAAGTAGTCGTCTCGCCAGACACGCCAGAACTGGTCCAATGTTCGTTGACCCTTCTTCCAGACAGAGAGAAAATTCTGAGCTGCAGTCAAAACTTCGATGTGGTCCGGATCGTCGTCATCAGCAGTGGGTTGCACGCCACCAGTAGTTGCAGACAGGCACAGAAAATGACTTGGGGTGAGTATCTCCTGCAAGTCATTGTCCACGTACACCAGTGGACGCGAGTTGACGACTGCTGACACTTCCATGAGAATGGTAGTCAGTTGCGACACAGTGAGGAGCGCCCGGCCAACGACCTTCTTCAGGCTTCGTTTGACTGTTCCAACGAGACGCTCGTAGAAACCACCCATCCAAGGTGAGATCGGTGGGTTACAGTGCCACTTCACCATGTTCACACCAGTCCTCGACATGTACGACAGGACATCATCACTCGTTGCCATTTCTTCAAAGGCCACATCCAGAACAGACTTAGCTAGGATGAATTGTGGCGCGTTGTCAGACATTACCTCTTCAGGGCAACCACGCAACGACACGAACCTGCGGAACGCTAGCAGGAATTCCTCTGTGGTCATGTCTGCCACCAGTTCTAGATGGACAGCTCTAGTTGCCATACATGTCACTAGGAGGACCCATACCTTCTTGGTACTTGGCTGGTGCTTGACGAGCAGAGGACCGAAGTAATCTAGTCCCACATGGGTGAACGGGATAGATCTTGTTGCGCGGGCAGATGGAAGCGGGGCCATATCTGCGGTGCGGTATGGACCACCGTGGTGCTTCCGGCAAGTCAGGCACTTAGTGATGAATGACTTCACTGTTGCACGCCCTCGTGGTAACCAGTACTCGTAACGCAGTCTTGATAGCGTGTGTGCAACGCCGCCATGCATCGTCATCAGGTGACAATCGTTGATGATGAGCAGGGTGATGGGATGCGTTTGGGGAATCAGTACTGGATACTTTGCTTGATAGCAAAGTTCGGCGTTCTCCAAGCGTCCTCTGCATCTGATGAGGCGGTTCTCATCGAGGAAGAGCCGCAGCTTGTCCTTCGGGCTGTGCTTCTCACAATTTTCGACAGCACTGACGTCTGACAGATTCTGTTGTGCATGGTGTAGCCATATGATTTTGGCTACCTTGACCTCTGAGTTACAACTAGAATCCACCCCGAAGGACTTGCCGCCTTGTGGTCTCAACCTGGAGAGAAACCGCAAACACAGAGCAGAAACACGCACTAAGGCACTGAAAGACGAAAACCTGGCACAATCAATACCAAATGGTGGTTCATCACATGTTTTTTGTTTGTTCGTGATGCGCATCAGGCTTTTTTTTCATTTCGTGTGCAAGCTCAGTGTCTGGACCGGTGGACTCTGTTGGGTGTGATACAGGTGCAGGTATCTCCGAAGGGCTTGTAGGACCCTCCCCAGCGGCAACGTTGACATGGTGATCAAGTGCTGGCTCGGCGTGATGGTCAGCAGTGGCAAGGAAGTGTGGACCGTGCCACCATAGCGAGCTGGCTTGAAGGGAAGGAACAGAGACGCCGCGTGAAGGCAAGTCGGCGGGATTGTCGGCAGAGCGGACATAGCAATAGACAACATCGGGAACCGCACGAATGGCATCAATATGGTTGTTGACGAAGACAGGTAGTTTGTCAGAAGAGGCCAGCCAATGGAGAACTGTGGTGGAGTCTGACCATAGAAAGGTAGAGGAAAAAGTTAGCGGAAGTTCCCGACGGACGAATTGGATCAGACGAACACCGAGAAGCGCGGCCATTAATTCCAGACGTGGAATGGTAGGTGAAGTAACAGGTGCAACACGGGACTTGCTGATTAGAAGGTTCGACGTGTGTTGATCGTCAAACGTAGTAGTAAGGTAAGCAACGGCACCGTAAGCCAGCCCAGATGCGTCGCTGAAGACATGGAGAGAAAACTGAGCGTCGCTGGGTTCAAGTTGAGCCGCAATATCACACCATCTACAAATGATGTCTTGTGGAAGGTCGTCGTCCCAGCCGACGTTCAGCTTCCAAAGATCCTGAAGCAGAATCTTCGCACCAACAAGAACAGGAGACTGGAGACCAAGGGGGTCAAAGAATTGGGCAGTATGTCGAAGGATACTCCGCTTCGTTGTGGCCGACCTGGATACGTCACTGACAGGTGCAATATGTAGAGTATCATGTTCTGTATCCCACAGCATACCGATGCACTTATGGATAGTACCCTTGGCTCGGTCTGGTTCTGGAATGCTGCTAAGAAACTCTGCAGAATTACTAGACCACTCACGAACATTCATAGACGCGACACTGAAGAGGCGCTTCGTGGCATCATAGATAGCAATCGCCTCCGTCCCAGAGTTGGCACCAAGGAACAGGTTGTCACCGTAAATATTGCGAGACACTAGGTCGGAATCGGTTGTATCAGCAGCGCTGAGATGATGCTGAATAGTGGCAGCCAAGAGATATGGACTGCTGACAACGCCAAACGGAACACGACAGAAACGAAGTTGCCGTATGTTGTCTTGAGTAGCTGAGCTGGATGCATCGTGCAGCCATAGGAAGCGGGTCACGTCACGATCATGTGAGTGCAGACCAATCTGCAGAAAGGCCTTTTCTACGTCACCACTTATGGCTACCGGAGAAAGACGAAAACGAAGAAGAATACCGCAAAGATCTGGAACAAGATTGGGACCAGCGTGCAAGCAGTCGTTGAGACTGGCGAGTTTTTCGGAACATTTTGCGGACGCATCATTCACTACCCTCAGCTTCGTGGTAGTAGCAGTAGGTTTGAGTACTGAATGGTGTGGAAGGTAGTGAATCTGGTTGGTTGTAAAACCACGAGGAACATCTTCTATCATGCCCCTGTCAAGCTGGTCTTGAATCACGGTATCGTACCGGTCAAGAAGTTCCGGATGGGCTTCGAGGCGACGCACTTGTGCCTTCAGGCGACCGAAAGCCAGACCGTAGTTTGTCGGAAGAGGAGGATGTGGGTCCCTCCAGGGCCAACTCACCGCGTACCGACCCTCGGCAAATGAGATGGAGTTGGCGAAGCGCTCGCCCACAAGATCTTGCGACGACTTATCGTCAAAAGTACCCAAGCTCTCTGTCGACCAGAACTTACGGAGGTCGAATTCAGGGTCCGTGTGTAACAGTCCAACTAACTTCAGTAGTCATTCTTGGAATAAGCAATGATCCTTGCCATAATGCATTCTTATATACATGAACAAGCAATGATGGACATAACACCTAACAGCAGCAGCGTGATAATAGCAGGTGATAAGTGTATCCTATTCCTAGTGTTAGTAGTAACAGTGAATCTGTTACACCATTCCCCCCTCTCAACTGTCAGAACAGTACCAATTCGAAGGAACAGTTATGGTAACTAATGATCATGCATGGATATGTGGAATGCATGGTAGCCGAAAACAACACTGATGAACTCAAGATCCAGTGCATGTCCTCTGCAAATAACGCCTGGCTGGCAGGGAAGCACTATCCTAATCATGCAGAATGCTACATTTCTATTGCAACACGTAGAAACTAGCAATACAACTGTGGCTGCCAATTAAATAGCAATTTTATGAAAAACGGTCCAGGTAGGTTTTCAGCGGAATAATAGCGTTTCCTGCTTCATCCATCAAGTATTCCTCCGGCTCCCAGGTGGCATCTCGGTAGCCCTTCCATTTCACTAGGTACTGCGTGCGCCGTCCTCTCTTCTTGTGCGACAACACCTTTTCGACAATGTACCGCGTATGGCCATCCGCATCGGTTAGGGGTGGAGGTGCCGGCTGAGTACGGCCCGGTATCTCATTGCCATGGTACAGCTTGAGGGCAGCAATATTGAACACTGGATGGGCCCGAATGATTCTTGGAAGAGCTAATCTGTACGCATTCGGGGCCACTTTCTTCTGCACCTTGAACGGCCCATACCACTTGAGCCTTAATTTGTGTGAAGGCCTGTCTCGTTCCTCGGGCGTCAGCAGGAAGTCCCTGAAGACCAACACCTCATCCCCCTCCTTCAGGGCGTCCTCCACCCGTCCTCGATCCGCATACAATGATTGCCGGGCCTGCGCCGCCACGATGGCATCCTGTGCCTCACGTAGTGCCTCTACGCGGCCATCCAGCCATGACAGCGGACCATTCGTGTCCATGCCAGCTCCAGCTTTCTGCTTCGTCAATAAGCTCGAGGGAGTAACTGGATGGCATCCATGGTTGAGGAAAAATGGCGTGTTACCTGTTGACGCTTGATCGGCATTGTTGATCGCAAACTCACATAGCGATAGGAGTCCATCCCAATTGTTTTGCCTATGGTTGACGAAAGCTCTTAGCGTATCCTCAATGACACGGTTCACACGCTCAGTCATGCCATCGGTCTGCGGGTGGTTGGCCGTGCTCATTTTTAGCTCCACGCCAAGAATACTGAAAACCTCCTTGAAGAACGCCGACGTGAATCGCGGATCTCGATCACAAACTATCGTTTTGCTCAAGCCATGGGCAGCAAACACATGATCCACGTACAATCGGGCTGCCTCCTTAGAGTCAACATGAACAGTCGTCGGGATCAGGTGCACATACTTCGTCAGACGGTCCACAAAGGTTAGAATGGCGCTATGTCCTCGGCAGGTCAGCGGCAGTGCCATGATGAAATCCATGCTGATGTCTGTCCAGGGCTGTTCGGGGACTGGAAGGGACTGCAACAGTCCTGCCTTGGTCTGGCTACCCTTTACGCGTTGGCACCGGTCGCAAGATTTAACGAAGTCCTTCACAGTATTTCTCATGCCTGGCCAATAGAAGTATCTGCTCAGCTTCAGGTAGGTCCTGTCTCTCCCCGGATGGCCGGCCGTCAGGCAATCATGATTCTGTTTGAGCAGTTGCAGCCGTACCGGACCGCGAGGAATGCAGAGGCGAGCATCGCCCGATGTTACTAGGTACAGCCACCGGTCCACACTGTTCCAGACGTATCGCTCATGCATGGCGTCTTCGCTGCAAGCCATCAAGCGCTTGATTACTGGCGAAAGCTCTGGGTCACTATCATACCCTGCTGAGATCTGATTCGCAATTCCTTGATTCACATCCAGAGAGAACTCGATTCCATTCAGTTCCAAGTCTGGTCGACGTGACAACGGGTCTGCTATGTTACACTTCCCTGGCTTGTGATGTACCGTGTAGTCATAGTCGGCCAGGAATTCAATCCATCGAGCCTCTCTCTTGGTTAAGTTTGGTTTGGTCCTGAGGTAGACAACTCCCATGTTGTCGGTGTAGAGTTGAAAGTGGCGAAATAGGTAGACTCGCCAGCACTGCAGGGCGTACACTACAGCCAAAGTTTCTCGCTCGGTGGCCGTGTAATTCCGTTCGGCAGAAGACAGCTTTCGGCTCACGTAAGCCACAGGATGCCAGGACTGGTCCTCTGCTTGCTGCGTTAAGACTCCTGCCACAGCAAAGTCACTTGCGTCAGTCTCAACGCGGAAATCCTGACTGACGTTTGCTAGTCGCAACACTGGTGCATCCAGCAGAGCAGACTTCAATCGCTCAAATGCCTCCTGTCGAGTCTGATTCCACTCGAAGCGCACATGTTTCCCTGTCAGTTCCTCCAGGGGTTTGGAGATGGCCGAGAAATGGTTAATGAACCTTCGAAAGTAATTAGCGAATCCCAGAAACTGTCTTACGTGCGTGACCGTCGTCGGGACAGGCCAGTTATGCACGGCCTTGATCTTCTCTGGATCTGGAGAAATGCATTGGCCGTCTATCCGGTGCCCAAGAAACAGAACGTCTGTCCGGCCGAATTCACATTTAGACGGTTTGCAATATAGCTCATTCCTCCTGAGGGCGTTTAAGATGGTTCTGACATGATCGAGGTGCTCCTCCCATGATTTGCTGAATATGAGGATATCGTCTAGAAACACCACAACGAATTTACGCAGGTACGGCTGGAGGACACTGTTCATCAAGGTTTGGAATGTTGCCGGGGCATTTGTTAGGCCGAAACCCATCACTGTGAACTGAAAGTGACCGAATGGGGTATTTATTGCTGTCTTCGGAATATCTGTTTCTTCTATTCGAATCTGATTGTAACCGGACCTCAGATCTAGCTTGGTGAAATACGCACTGCCTTGGACGGTATCAAAGAGGTCGTCAATATTCGGTAGGCATGCCTTGTTCTTAATGGTTATGCGGTTTAGCTCACGCCAGTCGCATACCATTCGAAGTGTTCCATCCGCCTTCTTTACGAAGAACACAGGGGCTCCGTATGGGGATTTGCTGGGCTGGATGAATCCTCTACGGAGCAGCTCGGTGAGCTGAGCTTGAAGCTCATCCATCTCTGGTTTTGGTAAACGATATGCTGCACGAGATGGCGGTTTAGCTCCTTCTTCCGTTTTTATCTCGTGATCTGCGCCTCTTCTGGGTGGCAGCTTGTTTGGAAGCTCATCGGGAAAGACGTCCCCGAACTCCTTCAGCAGGTCCTTGAAATCCTTCTGATCCTCCCTACCCGGACTATCCACCGTCTGTGGCTCGTCCGGATCTGCTGTCACATACGCTAGGATTCCTTCTGCGCCACCTCTCATTGCATGCCTAGCCTGCTTCCCTGAGATGAGGAACGTCTCGATCGGTAGGTTGGATTTGTCCGTGCCCTCACTTTCACTCGGTTGACAGATGATGGATCCACCCTCCAGCTTGATTTCATTGGTACGAAAATTGATCTGTGGGTTCGTCCGGGTCAGCCATGGTTTGCCGAGGATCACGTCATACCGCGTCATAGGGAATACTAGGAACTGTTGGTGCTCGCTAAAGTCGCCGACTACGGTCTTCAAGCTGTCCGTTTTCGTAATAGGCTGTGAGCGGACCGATCCATCAGCAAGTGTGACGTTCAGGACGTCGCTACCGGTTGTTGTGGAGATGTTGTGCTTCTTGACAAGGTCAGTTGAAATGAAGTCGTGGGTTGACCCAGAATCCAGTAGCATGGTAACGCGACGTCCATTTATCTTGCCCTGGACGCGCATTAGGTCGTGTTCGTTGTCGGCGGAAATGCTCCCTGTGCTGGCGGTTACTTCATTAGGCCGGCCAACAGTATCAGGTGACGAATGCTTGACAGGCGAGGCTTGAATTTCGGTCTCCTCGAGGCGTGGTTCCTCATTTGCTAAGGGGCTGAATTTGTTCTGAACTTTGATTCGTGGCCTATTCCTGGGTGCTCTCGTGTTCGCCAGTAGTCGCACTCCCTTCCTTACTGGCGTCCATCGTTTAAAGAAGGCTTGCTTGTGGCGTTCCTCCCTCCTTCTGGACAGAATCTGGCAATATGGCCGGGTTTCCTGCAGGTGAAACACAGCCTTGAACGACCCTCTGGCTCCCTGGTTTCTCTCCCACCGCATGGTGTTGGTTGGCTTGACCAGGGTCCAGGCTGGCGCCTCTGATGCCCTGGTGCGCGCACTGCCTTGGCGTAGCTTGCTTGGGCTAGCCGCATCGACTGGTCTGCTGAGACCGCAGCTCGTATGGCTTGGGCCAAATGTTGCGGATGCTCCCTAAGTACCTCACCGCTTAGGCCCTGAGCCAGCCCACGCGTGAACAAGATAGCTCTGGAGTGGTCATCAAGCTCGGGAACTTGTAAGCTAAGCCGCGAAAATTTGTTGATGTATTCGTCAAGAGTCTCATCTTGGTGAAGAGCGAATAAGTCGATGCGCGCCTGTTCCCTGTCATAAACCGGGCCGTACACTTCTCCCAGCTTGCTCTTCAGGTCTGGCCAGTCGGAAAACAGCGTGTTTGCCTCCTGAGAGGCGATAAACCAAAGACGAGCGTTGCCCTCCAGGAAACTCGCCGCGTAGCTCAAGCGCTCCTCCGCGTTGTCCAGCTGCAGGGACTTCATGGC